CTCTTACTCCTTTTTCAGAATTAAGCTGAAAATTAAGGATATAATATTATAAGCCCTCCAAAATCCATTGATGATGAGATGGACAGCATATAAATTTAATAATAAATAATTTTAAGAAGCACACAAATGTTTGAGCTTTCTACCATAAACTTAATTTGGGAGAATAGGAGTAATTAAGATATAGACTAAGCTTGGACAGTAACCACTTCACTTTTGCGCAGAGACTAAAGTACAAATAAAAACACATGTATTAATTGTATCTGTTGCTTAAATGTATGTTATTTGACTCCAGCAATTCTGCATGGTTTACAAATTGTTAAAAGACTTAAAACCAAGGGTGAAAAAAAAGATAAAACAGAATACAAATGGTGATGAGTTAACAAATCCAAATGAGAACAAAGAAAGAAAAAGAAACACAGTTTCAACTTCATTTATCAAAGGCTTTTGGATTATTTGGGGGGGGAGGGGGAAAGATTCCAGAGGACAGGCTTTCCAACAGAGAAGGTGTACTTCTGGGGTCCCAATAGATGACATCTAATCAAAGGAATCTGGTGCACATAAATCCTGCCAGATCAGATTGTCCAGGCAGATATTAGAGGAAACAGAAGATCCCTCAAGTAAACAAATCCTATTTACCAACTTTTTGTGCCACTTATTAAGAGTATAATCTTTAGCAAGCAACAGTAGGAAAAGGTCTGTTGCTCTGTTGCTCAAATGGAAAAGCAATCATTGGGGAAATTATTTTTTCAGTAGCCCCCTTTGGACAATATTTACAATATTAGAATTATTTGATCAAATGAACTGCTGACTTGTGATTTTAGGATTGGAAGAAATAATCATCCAGTTTGGTCTCTTTTCTCAAAAATGATGTTCCAACGAAGCCAGTCCTCAGCCTTACTAATTTATTCATGAATTCTGAGAGTCAGTGTAGACATCACCAATACAAGGTAAACATTGCGTCTCATAGCAGTATTAGTAATAGTAATAAAGTTGGAAAGGACCTTGGAGGTCATCTAGTCCAACCCCCTGCTCAGGCAGGAAATCCTACACCATTTCGGACAAATGGCTGTCCAGTCTCTTCTTAAAAACTTCCAGTGTTGGAGCATTTACTGCTCCTGGAGGCAGGCTGTTCCACTGATTAATTGTTCTCACTGTCAGGAAGTTTCTCCTTAGTTCTAGGTTGCAAGCCCTGAAAACACCACTAGCAATACAAAAAAATTTGCACTGAAATAAGGTTCACTGGTATCAATGCTAATTATTCTTTCTTAAGACTATTTCAGAATAGCATGCATAAGATTCATTCTGATTCAAACCTACACAATCCGGTATATTGGTCTGACACCAGAAAGTTTCTTCTCTTAAAATAGCATCCTCTATGGTAGCTACTTGGGTTGTGAAAGTTGGATCTAAACAAAGCAAGACAGGAAGAAAATCAACTCGTTTGAGCTATGGTGCTGGAGAAGGCTCCTATGTATTCCATGGACAGCAAAGGTGACCAACAAGCAAAAACTGGAGCACATAACACCAAATATGTTCCTTGAAGGCAAAATCACAAAACTGTGTCATTTATTTTAGCCATATCATTCACTGGAGGGGGAAATTCACAGGAGAAAGTAATTATGGCTGGAAGAGTTAGTGGCAAAAGGAAACCAGGCCACCAAAGAACATAGTGGCTGGACACTAACAAAGCTGACTCCAACCAGAACATTAAATAACTCAAAGAAGTAGTACAAGATTGTAAGATGTGGAGAGACCTGGACCATAGAGTCGCCAAGAGTCAAACATGACTGAATGAATAACATCACCATCAGGTTTGAAGACATTTCTTAACATATTTTTTTTCAGTTGAAGTGACATCCATTTGACCTTTGTACTTCCCATTGTCCATTTCAGCAGCCATGCCTGTATTCAACAGGGTAGCCAGGAAAGTTAATTTCACTAAAGATTATAAAAATAGCTTTACAAAACTTGAAAAATCAAATATGGATCAATGTATTGGGGTCAGTATCAAATAAGAACTTTGGGGCTTAATTTATTCATTCAGTGACATCATCATTACACATACTGGGCAAATTTCCTTTGATCAATTTTAAAAAATTACTTATAATTTGAATATAATTCAAAATGTAATGTTTAAAAGACATCAGTGTCAACTCTGAAATCACCAAACCATGGCCTGAGAGCTATTGGGCTGACACTTTGAATAAAACAGCTGTTACAAGACACAAGCCTAGATCAGTGCTGCTTTTTTAAATGGGATTGTTTGCCTGGAAAAGCAAGCAAAACCCAGGCCTAAATGAGGCACCTTTTCATTGTACATACTGGACTGAATTCCTGGCTGATAAATTTCCCCACACCTTTGTCTGAATGAAGGGAGGCAAAGGTCTACATTTTCTCACAAGCATGCACAAGCCTCATTCTAAGTCAGATGGCTTTCTACCTCTAAATCTCGTCCTTTATTGACTTAAAGAGTTTGTCTGAGCGACAACGGACATTGTGGATTTGTTACTTCTGTCATCTTTTCTACCAGTGCACTTTGCTTCAGATCAAAGTTGAAAGCTGTTAAAAAAAAATACACAAACCACAGTGACAAATAGCTTGCTTTGTTTGACATAGCAAAGCAAACAAAAAATTGCTTTAGTTAACCAAAAAAAAAGAAGAATCGTCTCTTTTCTGCCTTAACTCTGAAGCCTAAGATGCTAAAAACTACACATTCACTTCATGATCAAGCAATGAATCTTTTCAATATTTTAAATAGGTTGGCAAAAATTAAATCAACCTATCAGTTTTAAGTTTTTCAAAACTCAGAAAATACACTTCTAGTTTCCCTAAAGGAGACATCTTGATTTTTAAAACATTTTCTCTGCTTCAGTATGTTCTCTACAATTGCATACTATAAAAGTCTATTTATTAAATAATATATTAGTATTTAGCAAACAAATAACATTTTAAAAAAACTTTCTTACTTTATTTATTATGACATACCACAAATCTGTATGTTTCATAGAATTGGAAAGCAAAGCCAAAATTTAACTATAAGGAAATCTGATCATGGAAATTCAATCCACATAAAATACACCATGCAAATACACTACTGTACATTCTTTGATTATACAAGATATGGCTTGCTTTTCACAAAGCGGTAGGGAATCATTGTTCCACAGAGTTTTGGTGAAGGCAATATTTTTTATGGGCCATTGACAAAATAAATATAATTGATTGATTAATTGATGTAATAGATCTGACTATTTTTGTAATTGATTATCTCTTTTATGTTGGTTCACGAATGGTTTTATTTTTGTTATATTATAAACTGACTTCCAGTCTTTCAAAGCAGTCAGTATGGAAATCATTGGAGGGAGGGAAGGATAAATGGCTAGACTGAGTGATAGATTAATTGATTGGCTGGCTGCAGTCTACGCAAAGTTATATAATGATAGACGTAGTATTACAGAATTGCAAAGGAACACCTGAGCCCACATTTCATATTAAACAAATTTCTGTGACTTAGCATATTAACATCTACGTAAATACAGCCAATTGTGGTTTATTCAATAAGCAACACTGAAAACAAATCCTAGCTTAGTATTATGGGTGAATTCAATGAGTACACTGGAAGCAAATTGTGCTAAGAAAATTAAATCTGAACTTCCAACATAGAAACAATTATTTGTTCTTCATAGAACAATCTTTGTAATTTTTATCCTCAGAAAAAATACAGATTAGTTCTTATGCTTGTTCTATGCATAAATGTTTATGTAATCTTTATCTATGTCATATATTTATAATATTAATATAATCTTACTATAATTTTTGACTAAATGGTGGTAGAGATGTTAAAATGAAACAATTTGATCTAAAACCAAAGAAACACACAATTCATTGTTTCATACTGTATTAGACCATGATTTGTTTAATAATTAGTTAAGTTCACACAACATGCTAAGTTACATCTAGCAAACAATCTTATGGCTAAGCATAGAATTTGAATCCCACTGCTATGTAATGTATACCCATAAGGTTTTATTTGTGTGTTTTCTAAGAAAATCTCCATCTCTCCTTCGTCAAAAGTTTCCATGATTTTTTTCAAATGGGAATTAAAAGAAGATTTCTGCATGCAAAACATGAATCTTATTTAAGACTAGTGACCTGAGAAAACTTTTTTCAGCTTGGTGTCTTCCCAACTGTTTAAGTTTCAATTCCCCTAATCCCATGTCAACAATCCAAAATAGCTGGATAGCATCCCAGAAAAGGTGTCTTTAACAAGAAAGGGGAATATGTTGGTATGCTCAGACAAAATATGATTTAAGAAACTATATGAAAATTTGAGAAAATTTCCGTTGTATGTAAAGCATGGTTAATGGCTTAGTGTTTTGTGCAAACCTGCCCATTCTGATTTAATTAATAAATTATGGATAAATAAACCATGGCTTATGTAGGATGCCATTCTATATGCCTACTCATCCATCTTTTTAATGAATCCCTTACAAGTACATAGGTACAGCACCTAATGGATCTTAGTTAATCTCAATAAAGAGACTAAATACAGTTGGACCAGGTTGTCCTTGGATATATCTTGGGTAAGAAGTCAGTCAAAAAACCTATTGGGAACCATACAGTTTGGAAAAATCTGCACTATGAAGTCATCAGGACTTGAGCTTCATTTGAGTGACGCTATCTTTATAGTTCTTTATATTCAAACCTACATCGTCTTTAAAAAATTGTTTCTTTTAATTAAACCACCCAAAAGCTGCAGATCATTTGGGCAGTTTACAATAAACACGCCAAAGTTAAAAAAAAAAATCCAATTTGAGTTTAAACATAACCAATAAAACCAAATAAAATGAAAAATAATGACATCATACAAACTAGGCAGCGGCGGTCAAAATCTAAGGTAATAAGGATTCAATAGAGCACCAATGAAAAAGCTTGGAAAAACAGCCCCTGGCAGCTGAGAAGAGACTTCCAGAGAAAAGGATCTCCCACTGGTAGAAACTCACCTTATCTCACCCCAGATCTCAAAGCCACCAAACCTGGGAGAAAGCCTAAAGGGCGAAGCTCACCAAGTGTCCCAGCATCCCTCCTCAGCTGCAAACTGTTATCAAATCTGGGCTGCAAACATCCAGACGACCCCTAGGTGGCTGCAAAGAGGCACCACACTTCCACCTGGATTCCCCCAGCTGCTACCTGGCAGCCTTGGTGCGAGAGGCCTCCGGGAGGCCCCGCCCAAATGCCCCCTCTCCCAGAGAGGAAGCGCGCGAGGCAGTGAGAAGACTGGCAGGGGCTTGCGCGTCCCTTCGCGTGCGCGCGCGCGGGCGCGCCCCAAAGAAAATCGCCCGGCCTTCCGGGGCTCATGTGAATCTGGTCGCTTAGCAACCTGCTGAGCGCTCGAGCCGAGCGGCAGCAGCAGCAGCAGCAGCAGCAGCGGCAAGAGGCAAAGAATCTGCAGGGAAGGGAAGTGAGTGTTTCTGGTTCCTGAAGGGAGAGAAGGACGCCTTCAAAATTATATTAGCTCCAGAAGCGCCTGAGGTGGCGGCAAGTGCTTGGGGGCAGGGGGCACGAAGAAAATGGAAGAAGTGCAAGGGATACCTATTATAGCAGTGCTTTTTTAAAAACTTGGCCATTTTGAGATGCATGGACTTCAACTCCCAGAATTCCTCAGCTAGCATGCTGGCAGGGAAATTTTGAGAGTTGAAGTCCACACGTCTTCAAGTGACCAACGTTTGAAAAAACATTACATTATAGGGTGCCTTTATCGTTGTAGATTAGTGTCCCAACGTAGGATACCATTGAAAGCTTCATCCTAGGGGTGGGATTGGGGACTTTTCATATTCAAGGCAACTGGATGCCCTCATGTTCTTCAAATCCTCCACCAATAATGATTGGTGTTGGAATTTCAATCCCCAGTGTTTGAGGTATGGCAGGCCATCTAACACATGCACTTCCCAAGCTTGATTTCCCATCCAACTATTAAGCACTGTACATAAGAAGGAAGTAAATAAAGCCGGGCATATAGATTCACCACACAATGGAAATATACAAAACAAAGAGAAATTAAGATGGAGAAGAAGCCATAGCTTCTTTCTATGGTACTGGATAGAAGGTACAGTAGATTGTTCGTTCTTTTGCAACAAAGAAAAGTAGATGATCCATGATCAGTCCTTGATCAGACTAGTAGCAGAAGCCAATGTCATGTCCTTCAATTCTCTTTTCTAGGAAAATGCAATATATCCCAGCCCTGTAAATGCTGTGTGAACAATGAATAACTCAGTGAAATACCTGAATCCAGGTCACAATCAAATCTTATTTCACACTAATTTACTGTACCAAAATTTCATTTTCTACTGATCCTGTTTAATGTACTTTAAAAATTGAGTCAGTGTAAGATATTTTTGATATGCCATACAATATTTTAAAACAATTACAGTACTATAATACTAAATGTGCCAGATTACAGGATAGGAAAAGTACTTACTCTTAAAAGGCCATAACTTTGATGGTTGTTGTTGCTATGTGTGAATAATATTTTACAGTAAATTGCCCCAATGACCTTGGGGTGCTAAGTGATGATAGAAGATAATAGAGACAAAGGATATTTCCTTTGCATTGTATGTGTTTTAAGCTTTGCTTCAGTGGACAATGATGGCAAAGAAACTAGACAAGTAGAAATATTAATTTTAAATAGACAGCATTTTGTTCTTAGAAGAGGCCCATTCTTGTACCAGTATTGTTTTAAAAAGTACAAATAAAAGTAACCTGCAGAGAGCTTCTGTACTCTGAGACAGAATTGGGAAAAATGTGGCTCTATAGATGCTACTGAACTGTGTTCCTAGCACTTCAGTGAAATGGCCAATGCTGAGAAGTCAAGGTGTCTTCACCTCTGCTTTCAAAGCCATGAGATATTTGATTTTTACAAGAGAGTCCTCTTCTCTAAAAGATGTGATTCCAGAGGCAGAAAAGAAAGAAATATACAAATGCCTTAATGGATATTTTATTGCAGGTTAATAGTAAAAATTGTTTGAACTCTACCTTTTTTTTAATTTTCTAGTCCAAAAGGATACTCAGGTATCCCTTATTAAACTAAGTTTTAAATTGCAATAAAAAATAAATAGCAAATTCATCCAGATAAATAAATGTTAATAGAAGTAACATTAAAATATTTACTCGTATGTCATATGGCTACAGAGAGTTTGTTTTAGTATAAGAGTCTTTTAGTTCTACTTGTCCCAGCAGAAAGGGCCTACTTTGGATCCTGTGGTCAAAAAAGTCCGATTTCCAGAAGAAAAACTTTTTCTGCCGCAGCGCCTGCCCTTTAGAACCTCTTACCCTCTAAAGCAGGGGTCCCCCAACCCCTGGTCCATGGCCTGGCACTAGGTTGCAACCGGGCCATGCAAACAAGCGAAGCCCCATCTGTGCGATGCAGGCAGCATGTGAAACTATGCCCCCTCTGGTCTGTGGAAAAACCTCCCTCCATGGAACCGCTTCCTCATGCCCCAAAGTTTGGGGGCCGCTGTTCTAAAGTAAGATTGTCCCTTCTGCAAGACCTGAAGACCTAGCTTTGCTAGTTGGGCAGGGGAGCAGATGGGGGGAGTTCCATTCTGGAGATGGCTGCTGGATTGATCCCACCTCCCCCGTTGCTCTCTGCACTTCTCCATTTTTTTGGTTATTGTATTGATATATTCTCATTGTGTTCTTTTTCATTGTTTATTTTATTTCTGTTCTGTTCATACCCTTTTAATTTCTTTCTTTTTATTGTGGTAAGCCCCCTTGAGTAGTCCTGCAGCAAGATAGGTGGCAAATAATTTTAACAAATAATAATAAATGAGACAATACCTCTAACACCATTAAGATATCCCCATCCCCTTATCCCAGATCCTTGGGAAGGACTCCATAGGCAGACAAAAATGTCAAATCCAGTTTAAACATCTGGCTGACTATGTGACAAACCATAGTATCTCTAATAAAGAAAAGCCCATTTCCTCATACCGTTTTTGTCCAAATCAATAGCAAGTATAAACTCAGAATTGGGCCTCTCTCCCAAGAACTTTTACATTATAGTAACAAGAGTGCTAAAAACATACATCAAAGTATAAGCTATAGGTAGTCCTCAACTTGCAGTCACTTATTTGGTGACTGTTCAAGGTTACAACAGCACTGAAAAAACTGACTTATGGCCATTTTTCACATTTAGGACTATTGCAGCATCCCCAGGGTCACGTGATCAAAATTTGAGCACTTGGCAATTGACATATATTTATAACACTTGTATTATCACAGGGTCATGTCATCACCATTTGTGATCTCAGCCAGCTTCCAACATGCAACGTCAATGGGGCAAGCCAATTCACTTAATGGCCACATGATTCACTTAACAACTATGGCAAAAAAAACCTCTTAAAATTGGATAAAACTCACTTAACAACTGCCTTGCTTAGCAATAGAAATTTTGGACTCAATTGTGGCCATTAGTCAAGGACTATCTGCAAACACCAACCGTATATTTTAATTACCATGCTGTTTATAGTATTCAATGTTTTATTCAATGTTTTTTGTTTGCTTGTTTTTAGGATTGTACTAATTTGGAGTGCGTGCAGGACCTCTTTGTATATTGAAGATAAAGAAATTATTACTCCCTCTATTCCATGATGCAAAAGAAATATTTCAAGGTGCACAGATCTTATACTTGTAAAACACATGCTGAGAAAGAGCTTTGAAAATAAAAGCTTTATAAATAGGCCAATTTAATGCATATAAAATACTATCTACTCCTATAATTGTTTTAATGTGCAGTTGTTTTGGAAGAGAGAAGTAGCCTTAGGTTTTATTTTTAATTACACTGAAACAAAATATGTTTAGGCATGTCAAACTTTTATAGTTCATAATGAGTTTATTGCACACAATAATTATGGCTTCAGTAATTAAAAGTTTAAAATTGCTGCTATTTTATTTAATATAAATGATAAATCAAAGATTTCTTTTTGCCTTTATATAAGTTAAAGTGGGATGTGTCAAATATCAATCTTATGTTTCATATTGTGGTAATTGTATATTAGTAAGACTTCAAACATGGGAGTTGTATGGGCATAAAGGTTCTGTCAGGCTAAAAAAAATCATTGGCTAAAGGCTGAATTTCTTTTGTTGTTTAATGTGTTATACATATCATTCATATATAACAGTAATTTATAAAAATAATTATGAAACTTTATTTTAGGGGAGTTCCTACAAACCAGAGTCTGTAGCACTTACTGCTGTGGCATTACAAGATCATATTTTACATGATCTTCAGCTGCAAAATCTTTCATTAGCAGATCCTTTAAAGTCAAAGACATGGAATAAAAAAAATAAATACAGGCCTGTGAACAAGGAGAAAATCAGAGCAGTTATAGATACTGGATTAAAAAAAACAAACAAACAGCCAAACAACCAAAATAACCCGCAAAATGAAGATCCAGAGAAAGAATATGTCCTTGATCCATGTCCTCAGCCTCTGACTTTAGGTAAAATCTTAATTTTCCAGTCTGTTCGTATTTGATTTTAATAAATGTTTAATGCCTCTTAGGTATGGAAGGATTTTGCTGCATGTAAATTTAATAAATAACTAAATAATTAGTTATATTATAATAAATAGATACTTTTTTCCATATGGCACAATAGCACCACAATAAAAGAACAGCTGTTTGAAGAATCTTCCCTTGTCCTTACAAGCATTTTTCTTTACTTTCTTTTTCAGCTTAGGTTTGCAGCAGATAGATATTTCTTGGAAAGTTACAAGCAGGAAGGGGGAAAAAAGCAATTACTGTATTTTTTTTCTTTGGCTATACATTTTGGATCCTGAGCATTATATAAAAGGAACTCAGTATAATTTATTTTGGGTGACAAACACGTGTGAACTGGGTGAAGAATCACTAACTTTTAAGGGATTTAAAAAAAAAAATAACATTAACATCATTAACATTACAAATATTGCTGATGACTTTGTCGTTGATATTACATTCTCTCTTTGCTTACATAAAGAGAAATGTGAAAAAAGAACAGGAATATATTGCATTAAATAACCCCATAAAATATCAAAATCTAATGAATCTGTCTTAAATAAAAGGTAATGCCACCAAGTTAAGGAGAATTACTTAAAGAATGAATTTTTTCTTCACCCTGACACCACCTGATATGTATGTTAAATTTATTTTCACTGTGATCAGTAGCAAAAGACTTTAGTGCCAAAACAAATATTTTTGCCATTAGGAAGGAAAGTCTTCATACAGAAAGAAGCAAGCCTACCACCCAGTGAAACTACATTAGCACCATCTAGAGTTGCCTTCTACTATAATTGGGATACGTACTTGGGCAACTGTTGTTTTTACAAAAAAAAAGAAAAATTCATTTACTAGGTTGGGCATAGTTTGTTTTTATTAAAAACAACCCTTCACCTTTAACTACTCTTTGCTCAAAAATTTACAACTTGTGTTTTTGTAATGGTTTGGGGGCAAATCCATGAATAATGCCTGTAGCTAAACATCCAACTTCAAATCAAGAAACAAGAGACTTACTTTATTATAATAAAAGAGATGGATGCATAAGCTTCCTGCCTGGGGAAAGAGGAGGTGCAGCGGCAACATATTACACTGTCATGAGATAATAACATTACATGGTCTGACTAATAACTAGGAAGAACTACTAGAAGTGCTACTGTTACACTTTTTACATCTTTGTTTACAAGAGTTTTCCTCCTTTTAAATTACTAGTAGAGATCTCTTGGGGTAGTTTGATGTAATGGTTGAGACACAGGATAGAAACTAGAAGATGGTGTACCGTAGCAAAGTCCTTCCTTAAGCAAGAAAGCTATCTGGGTGATCTTGGGCCAGTAGCCCTCTCTGAGCCTTGGAAGAAGGCAAGGGCAAATCACTTATGCAACACATTCCAAGAAATCTACAGGAACTTGTTCATGTAGTTACCAGGCATCAAGACTGACTTGAAGGCACACAAACACAAAAAGAAATGGATTGAGTTAGGCAACACTTTGTGGCATGGTCTAGGCCAGGGGTAGGCAACCTTGGCTCTTTTATGACTCATGGACCTCAATTCCCAGAATTCCTGAGCCAGCCATTCTGGGAGTTGAAGTCCACGAGTCATAAAAGAGCCAAGGTGGCCTAGCCCTGGTCTAGGCTACCATCTCATACCAATGTGATTGGCTTGCCACTCACTCCAGCGGAAGAGGCACGTTGTGTCCACCAAGGAATTTTGGCTGGCAGGGTCCAAGAGACGAGCCTTTTCTGCCGTGGCCCCAGCCCTTTGGAACTTCATGCCCCTTGAGATGACATCCACCCCCACCCTCTTGGCCTTCCATAGGGCCCTGAAGACCTGGCTCTGCCATATGGCTTGGGCTCCTGGTGAGGGCATCCTACTCTAGAATTCGTTAAAAAATTAGAATTCCATTTCTACCTATTTACATATTTTTAACCAGTTTTTTTTGTTAATTTTAAAGTTTTACTTTTAATACTTAATGTTTTAATGATTTAATTGTTTTATATTGTTTTTTAACATTGTAAGCCTCTCAAGGTTGCTTGATAGTGAGCTGGATGGCATATAAATTTAATAAATAAATAAACACCTTCTGCCTCCTGTTTTGCCTCCCATCCATTCTTTTTTTAAAAAAAGTAGTGTGTTTCTGTTTCAAGGTCATTCAGTTTGAAAGCCCAGCTCTGCAGTCATATAAATATTCAGACAGATATAGAAGATATATTTTTGTATATGTGTGCTAATATACATTAGTAGGTTAATTAGATGATTCAACTATCCGCCTACATCTACAAACTGGAACATTTGATACACATTGAAGAGAACAGCCTGGAGTTGGTGGGACTTATAGTTCAACAATATTCAAATATTCACAGATTTCCCAGTTTTGCCCTGTTGGAATACTATCACTGCAGAACATTTAAGAACTATCAGAATAAGGAAGATTTATGAATGTGCTTAAATAATGCTTTGTTTAACTATTTTTATAATCAGTTTACTTGTTCATTGAGTGATTTCTTTAAGTAACATCTATTCAAATAGATAAACTCTTGGTTTCTGGGGAAATTAAAATGACCAAATTAGTATTTGTCTTTTTAAAAAAAATACTATATTATGAAGTAGTTTCTGTGCCGAAATAGGGAAATAAAAAAAATTAAGTAACAAAACAGGTTTGAAATCTAGAGAATAAGATATTAAGATGACCTGTTTAATTTTAGTTGAGGTTTGTTTGTTTGTTTTGGGTTTTGCTCATTATCACCCAGTCTTGCAAACATTCTTTCAGATAGAAACCCCAGTGTGGAATCCAGAAGTCTTGATTGCCCGAGAAAAATGTGACATACCTGTCAAATTCCTCTGTCATATGGCACATCTACTTACTTGAACAAGGAAGACTTAGGCAAATTTAGTTCCAATTCTGTATAGCATATTGTACATTCATACATGGGAATATCCATTTTATACTATGTCTTCCTAAGCAGATATGCAGGGGATTTCATATCTGATGAAATAAAATGTTACATTAAGATACTATGCATGTATGAAATATGGATATTTCTGTGCATTTGTACACATTCTAGTTATGGCTAGTTCTTTTTCTGTCAGCAGTGATTCTTGATGATTTATTTACAAGAAAAGTTGTGCATTTCTGTTGCCCCTAAGAATTCTCCCATTAGGTTTCATTCTTTCCAAAATAAACCACCCCATAAAATGTAAGCTGTAATTTATGAAATTATTGTTATTCAGTTACTTTCATTGAATTTACTACATTTAGATTTATAATTAAATATGAGCTAATTCAATTTTATCCCCAAATAACATTACTGGCCATAAAAATGCTTATAGTAGAAATATTAAATATGCACTGCCACACAGAAGATCCTATAATGAAACAAATTGTGAGTCTATTTCATTTGCTGGACTTTACTTGCAGCTCAGAAATTTGGATTGGTGGAGCTTCCTGCCATGCCACTAACTCTAGAGGAGTGGGGATATGTCAAGCAACGATCCATAAAACAAGGAGATTCTGTTCAACCTTGTGCTATATGCAAAGAAGAATTTGCACTTCAGCCACAGGTATTTTATCTGCCTCCTTTAATATTATGGAATAGCGATAGTCCTCAACTTACAACTGGCTGCTTAACAACCAGTTTGAAGATGTCCAAAAACTCTCCTCCAATCATTTCACTATATCTTAGTATCTTCTGCACTCGTGGCCACAATTTATAACATTTTTAATAGAATTGGTATTACTTTTGGTTTCTGGTGAAACTTCATAGCAAACAGTCGGTTTCCTCAATGATACAATGTTTGCTTTACAACCATGGTGTTTGTTTAAAAACCACACCACTCAGCTGCTGCAATAAAGGTAATATCAATTGCAGTCATGTCTTGACTCACTGAACAGCCATCATGACTTACAACCATAATTGTACACTCAATTCGGATTGTAAGTTGAGGACTACCTGTATATCTGATAGAACTGGGAACACCGTAATTTCAACTTTGAAGAGATGCCTTTCAGATACATAAGGTCATCTATGTAGCATTTGTCTGCAAGACATTAAAAAAGCTGCTGCTGTTTCCAGTCAGTTTCTAGTTTCCTTACCAAAGCTGCAAAATTCCAGATTGAATCCAAAGCATCTTATAGTCCTGGAAACTCGTGAAACACATACAAAAAATTACCAATGGGGAAAAAATGAAATAAATTAACTCATGGGGGGGGGCTTGGTACTCTCAGCTTGCTTGTTTTCTTGCAGATGTTTCAATACCCTAAGTAACATCATCAGTGCACTGATGATGTTACCTTTGTTGGTGTTAGTTGCGAAGTCGTGTGCGACCCCACGGACAACGTTCCTCCAGGCCTTCCTGTCCTCTACCATCTTCTGGAGTCCATTTAAGCTCACGCCTACTGCTTCAGTGACTCCATCCAGCCATCTCATTCTCTGTCGTCCCCTTCTTCTATTGCCCTCAATGTTTCCCAGCATTAGGCTCTTCTCCAGTGAGTTCTTCCTTCTCATTAGGTGGCCAAAGTACTTAGTTAGGGTAATAAAATGTCTGCAAGAAACCAAGCAAGCTCAGAGAGCACCAAGGACCCATCATTTCAACCCTGAGCTACAAATATTCTCCTTCATTGGTAAATTAACTTGTTTTTAATCATATGGAGAGGGTGGTTTTTTTTATGTGAGTTGCTAATGTTCAGAGAACACTGGACTTTCCTTGATCATGAATATGATATAATCTCTTCTTCAAAAAGCAAATAATCAGCAGCATTCTTTCCACTTTTTAAAGATTATTTTGTATAGCTGTTAGAGACAAGGACTTCAAGGTCCATCTGTTCTTGGAAGAAGCTGGTCTTATGTATACCTAGTATTCAGAAACTCATGGTTCACCTTATGCCCTTGGCTTTTAGGATGCCAACTTGTGTCTTTTCCCAAAGCATTTTAACAATCATTGGGGGGGTGGGAATGCAGTTCTTAAGTCTAAAATGTAATAAAATGTATATAATATAATTAACACTAATATGTTCTTTCTGCAATGAAGGCTACTATTTAATTATTGTGCTGTTGGTAAGAATAGAGGGGATTCTTGGATAAATTGAAATCTCAAAATGATTTTATTATTTCTGAACAGGTGTTGCTCTCTTGTTCTCATGTATTTCACAGAGTAAGTAAACCATATCTCTTTATCAATTAATGGCAAATATATATCCTGTCAGTCTTCTAAGTTGTACATCATATAATTAATTATAATATGAAATTTTACGTGTTAAGAATAAATCTATTGTTTTTAATTGTGTATGGTAATTCAAAATGTAATTTTAGGATATTGTTTTAAGACAATATATTTTATCTTACACAGTATGGTTGCATGTGGAACAAGCCTACACAACTCATAGAGAAAAATGGTTCAATAGCTAAATTAAAAATAATCGCAGGTCACAAAGAATACCTGATATCTCAATCAACTCTTTGGCAGTGTTGCAGCTGGTAGTGTTGATAGGCCCAGAAGCGCTAGAGATGTTTGGCAGTTTGTTGGGTGCGGTGCATTCTTTCACATGCATATGGAAGGACAAAAGTAGAAATAATCACTTAATGTAAATATGCACCCAAAAGGTTCAATTACAGTGATGGCCACTAAGCTTTTGTATCTAGACCTAGTACTGTAATTTTATAGTGAATCAGAATAAGTGGCTTGCAAAGTTAACAGTGGCTTTATACACTCCATGCATTTAATGATACCAAGAGCTATTAGTTGTTTCAGCCAGTCAGTGCTGGGATCAGAGAGTTAATCTGACATAGGCATCTATTATACTAAAGTTACTTAGATCTGCTCTGAGTTGCTGTAGCTGGGCAGCTCTTACAGAAATGACTAAGCCACTATGCTGTCTGGTTATCTGGAAAGAGCTTCACTTACAGAGTAAGTGATGAGATCTTTAGATTAGCGAGCTTTGTCACCTGTAGTCTGGATCCAAATGTTCCCTGGTTGATCAAGTCCTCTGCAAGGTAGCATGTGGTTGGGACCATGAGGTGGTACATGCCTCTTTTGTAGGAGGTGGTGGTTACAACTGCCTTGAAACAGACACAGGTCCACCCCTTTGTCATCCTTGGATTCAGCAGTGTTGAATAACCTTTGTTCAATCTCTAACCTTTCACTTTCGGGGAATGTTGTTGAAAATATGGTCAATAGTTTCAAAGGGCTCTGAAGAATATGGATTATTTTAATCTTTTTCAATCAGGTTTCAGGCCAGTTTATAATATCAAGATGGCACTGATTGTACATGTGTGTGATCTTTGGATCCTAGCATGCAGGGGAGATAGCTTTTTTTACCCTCCTGGATCTCTTAGCATCTTTTGATACCATCAGTCATGATATCCTTCTGGATCAGCTTATGGGACGAGTAGTGGGACCTACTCAGTAGTATTTTTTCTTCCTCTAGGGCTGGTTTGTGTCAATGCTGGTATGGAGAAGTTTTTAGCTCCTGTGTGAGATGTCTCAAGATACTTCTCTCTTTCTCTCTCTCCATCTCTCCCTTTCTCTTCCTTCCCCCCCCCCCCCATTTAACCTCTGCATGAAACCACTAGATAAGGATATCCAGTGGCCCAGGGTAAAATATCAGTATATTGTCATACAACTCCACCTGTGCATGGATAAGTAATGATATCAAGGTACTTACTAAGTGCATGGAGGTAGTAAGGGACTGGATGGGAAGAACCAGCTGTAACTCAGCTCTAGCAAGATAGACTAGCTTGCGATTTGGGCTTCCTTGGATCTAAAGATTTTTTATCGTTACCCTCAACAATTTCCCCAAGCTGACTTGGTGCACAATTTGGGAGTTCTCTTGAATTCATTGCTCTTGCTTGAAGAGCTGGTGGCAACTATGGCTAGGAGGACCTTTTGCTCAAATTCATCTTGCGTCCATTCCTGGAGGAGGTCCTTCTCAGTCACTTCCCAACTGGATTTCTACAGTGTGCTTTAACATGGGGCTGCCCTTGAAAAATATTTCAACTGCTTCAGGATACAGTGGTATGCAGTTAGGATGCACCAGGTCTGACCAAATTACATTGCTTTTGGATACAATTTGACATGTTGATTATCCCTTTAAAGCAGTGGTTCTCAACCTGTGGGTCGGGACCCCATTTGGGGTCGAACGACCATTTCATGGGGGTCGCCAAACCACGCTGTCCGCCATTTTTTTCCCTTTTCCCTAGCTGTCCTACTCCCTCTTATTGGTGGCCACACCCACTTCGGGGTCACCACAACATGGGGAAATGTATTATGGGGCCACGGAATTAGAAAGGTTGAGAACCACTGCTTTAAAGCCTTTTATGGCACACAACCAGATTAATTGCAGGATCACCTGTCTCCATGGACTTCTGCTCACCCACCAGATCCAACCGGTATATTTCAAGGATACTCTATTAAAGGATATGTGAGTCACCTGCCCTATGGAACAGCCACCCCATGTGAGATCTGGATGCTCCCAATTCTTTTGACTTTCTGGAAAGCTGCTAGCTGAGCCCCATTTGGCATGATTTATACAGATGAGCTTATAAAGTGCCTTGATTATTCTGTTATGATTATTTTAAGAGGTTTTTCTTTTTCTTTTTAGATGCTTTATTATATTATTTTTATTAATTTTTATTATCTGTCTAGAGTTTAATATGTAAGATAGGTGGCAGTATACATTTTCTAAAATAAATAATCGTATCTGCATATAGCTTCAGAATTGTTGGTGTTAAACCAACTTGTTGTGCATCTATGCATGTGAAGATAAACAAGAATGTTAAACCTGTCTTCCTTTTAGCATAGAAATGAAGCCTTAGAACAGTTTTGCTACAACATTGCTTATTTGTGAAGTTCATTCCTATACACACACATACGCACACACAAACACAAATAGAGTCAGCTAGTGGAACAGGTTGCCATGTGGAAATGCTGATTTTTTTTCTTCACTAGAGTTCTTCAAATAGTGGCTGGATGGTCATCCACGAGAAACACTTTGTGCACTGAGTGTGGATAGATGACCTTTAAGATGCCTTCCATGATGATGTTGTCTTTCCTGAATCTAAAAACTCTGGACATATAACTTTGCATTAATATTCATAAATCTTGGAGAGGGGCAAACTAAATTCAAACAAGTTTACAGCTAGAACTAATCATTTTTTTCCAGGCATGCCTGAAAGCTTTCGAAAAATTCGCAGCTAAAAAGAGCTGTCCAATGTGTAGAAAGACCCAGTATCAAACAAGAGTAATTCATGATGGAGCCCACATTTTTAAAATAAAATGTGCTACGAGGTAAGAGTGACTGGCAAATAACAAAGCTCATTCCCCAAGAAGGATTTGTTGAAATATTTACATGCACACAAAGTACTGTGTAGTGATGGAGCAATGTAAGTGAGTGCTAGGTTTTAAAGCTTAAAAATAAAACCTCTTCAGCACATAAGATAATGTGAATATCATAATGTAATACATTCACGCAAGTGTTTAGTTTGAAGTGGAGATTAAGATAATATTTTGGCCTCATTATATATAATACTTTGTTAGATATACTCCAAACCATGTGGTTCATGCCTTTGATTTAATAGGGGTAAGGCGAATAAGGGAAGAAATAACTTTCCCAGGATTTAAACTATTTAATTGCTGGAAATTATATTTCTTTCCCCTATATTAACAAGTTGTATGTGGATTATGAAGCTTTGTTCTATTAGCAGTGCTTAACGGCTCCTGGTCATGTGATAACACAAAATAAGCAGCACATTACTATATCACTCTGCATACATTTTGAATGTATCTTTTTAAAAAAATAAAATACGATGTTTAAAATTCACTGCTTTCCCTCCACTGCAGCTTGGAGGATCTCATATAATTGTTTCAGCCATTTTTTCTGATGAGATGAAGAAATGCAAAGCCTCCTTCTGCCAAGTCAACACTCCTGTTATTTAACAAAATAACAGAATAACAGTGTTGGAAGGGGCCTTAGAGGTCTTCTAGTCCAACCCTATTCAGGCAAGAGACCCTAGACCAGGGTTGTCAAACTGCTGGCCCACGGGCCAGATGTGTCATCAGGAAACCGCGCCCACCCCATTGCCGGCAATGGGGAAATAACTCTGATGCGTCGCACCATGTCACATGACGTCGTGGCTTTGACATGTCTGCCCTAGACCATTTTAGACAAATAGTTGTCCAATCTCATCTTTAAAACCTCCAGGGTTGGAGTATTCACAGCTTCTGGAGGCAAGTCATTCCACTGATTAATTGTTCTCCCTGTCAGGAAATTTCTCCTTAGTTCTAAGTTGCTCCTCTTCTTGATAAACTTCTGTCCATTGCTTCTTGTTCTGCCTTCAGGTGTTTTGGAAAATAGGTTGACTCTTCTTTCTCCTCCTCCTCCTCCCTCTTCCTCTTCCTCATTTTTTTCTAAGCTCCCTATTATTTGATTGTTCCATGCAACTTCAAGTCTAACATTATTTTAAACAAAAAAATTGAACTGAGTCCTGAACCCACTTTCAAACTAGTGACCCATAAAAACTTTATTTTTTAATGTAATTTGGGCTAGGGCAGTGGTGGCGAACCTAAGGCATGAATGTCAGAGATGGCACTCAGAGCCCTCTCTGTGGGCACACGCATCATCGCCCCAATCCTAGGTCTTCAGCTGGGTTTTATAAAACCTTTTCGCTTTAGGCCTCCGCCGCCGTGTACAAAAAAAAAAAGGTTCAATCAGTCAATTTCAACTTCTCACGGGGGAAAAAAAAGATCTTGCAAAGTTGGAATTGATTGATTGAACTTTTTAGTCCCACCCAGTCTGCCGTTATCACCGCAGCCACGCCCACCCAATGGGCCACACCCACTCAGCACCCAACGATGCATAAGTGGGTTTTGGGTTGCAGTTGGGGCACTCAGTATCTAAAAGGTTCGCCATCACTGGGCTAGGACAAGTGATACACTAGTAGGATTTCACGTATCTAGGAAATATTGATCTGTAGATTTGTTTAATTAGTGTAAAGAATTATTGAAATAAAATAAAACATATACATCAGCATTGGAGCATCTATTCTATGTACAAGAGAACCTGCTATGTTTCCAGTCAGGTAGTCCTCAACTTACAATGATTCATTTAGTTACCATTCATATTTATGACACTGAAAAAAGGGACTTCTGACCGTTTTCCACATTTAGGAAAAGTAACTTATGACCATTGCAGATTCTCATGGTCATATGATCAAAATTCAGATGCTTGGCAACTGGCATGTATTTAGGATGGTTGCAGTGTCCCAGAGTCATATGATATTCTTTTACAACCCTCTACTACATGCAAAGTCAGTGGAAAAACCAGATTCACTTAATAGCCATGTAACTAGCTTAATAATTACAGTGATTCACGTAACAAATGTGGCAAGAAAGATCATAAAATGAGGCAAAATTCAACTGTCTTGCTTAGCAATTGAAGTTTGGAGTTCAATTATGATAAGTTGAGAACTACCTGTATTCAGCTAGATAGTGGCCAAATTATACGGCACCAACTGTGCAAGAGCAAATTTACTGAAAACTTGTTCTTTGAGGCAAATTCTGCTGAAAGAGATCAAGCTTTTTCTTTCATTCATACTTGTCCAAAACTGGAAGCAAACTATCTTTTAGTTTTAAAACTGTTTGCATTCTAGTTTCAGTATTCAGATTTGTAAAAGACTCTCTTTTTTTTTAATGCCACAGAATTCAAGCTTTTTGGAGGGGACATATTGTTAGAAAGTGGTATAAAAATCTGAGGAAAACAGTACCCCCCAAGGATGCGAGATTAAGAAAAAAATTCTTCGAAGAAAAGGTAGGAAATTTTCACATTTCAGAATATATTACAATGCTAAAAATCAAAACAATTCAGTGCTGATCAAATCTGCATTCAGAACAAAATGCCCTGACTTTGTTCACAACTGGACCCAGACATCTAAGATGCATGTTTCAGTTTGGCGGTGGGCTACCCCAAAATACTGATCCCATGAACAGCGTGGTTGAATGTTTCTCCACAAGAAAGGTTGTTCTTCCTGCAGCCCCATGCTTAGACTCGTAAGCTTTTGGAGCCTTAAAAATACCAAGGAAAGTATGTTATCAACTTATAACCATTCATTTATTGACTGTTCAAAGTTATCACTGTTCAAAGTGATTTACAACCGGTCCTTGCATGGATGATCACTAGTCATGCTCACAGGATCAAAATTTGTGCCTTTGGCAACTGGCATGTACTTATGACAGTTGCAGTGTCCCAGGGGTCATGTGATCACTAGCCAGCTTCTGATAAGCAGAGTCAATGGGGGAAGCCAAAGTCATTTAACAACCGTGTGATTCACTTAACAACTGCAGTATTTGCTTAGCAACCATGGCAAATAATAACATCCAGATTGCTCTTTTAGCAATCATCTTGCTTAACAATGGAACTTCTGGCCTCAGTTGTGGTTATAAGTCAAGGACTACCTATAATTCATTTTCTTCCGCATACTGAGCGCCATACGCTTCCACATGTGCATCAGAGCCAGTGAGGTAGAGCAATTAAAGTGTTGCATTACAACCAAGGACAGAGGTAGGCAACCTTGGCTCTTTTATGACACGTGGACTTCAACTCCGAGAATTCCTGAGCCAGCATGGCTGGCTCAGGAATTCTGGGAGTTGAAGTCCACGAGTCATAAAAGAGCCAAGGTTGCCTACCCCTGACCAAAAAGATCCAGGTTCAAATCCATCTTCTGCAGTGGAAACTCACTGGAAGATGTGTGGCAGTCACACACTGCCCAGCCCAATCTCCTGTGCAAGGCTGTTGTAAATGAAGGGGAAATGCAATGGGAGCCCCCTTGAGCTCCTGGAGTAAGAGTAACATCTAAAAAATGCAAAAATGCACATGAGAAGAGAATCTGAACTGAATAGGAGTCTTTAAAAGGAAACATTTGAGAAGGAAGCTTAAAGGCCAAAGTGTGCTTTTCTTCCAGCTTGTTAGATGTATAAGGTTTATTATTACCTCCATGTCTGCAGAAAAAACACTTTCTCCGTCTCAGAGACCATCTCTGTTAATAATGTGACTCCCTTCCATTTTTTGAACCAATTTCTTCATTTGTCCTCAAAATAGTCAAGCCTAAATCTAGCTGGCTGAGATATTGTTGTTTGCACGTTAGTAGACCCCAGTCTCTAATTTTGCCTTATTTATTTGTCACTTTGGTAGACCACTGCAGTTTCATCAGTTTCTAAGATAAAATACCCAATAAACAATATACAATTAGTGCACCCGGTTAAAAGATAGGTAAGCTAGTGAATAAATGTAGAATATAATAAGGGTGACATGATAGCAGTATTCCAGTATTTGAGGGGCTCCCACAAAGAAGGGAGGGTTACGTTATTCTCCAAAGCACCAGAGGGCAGGACAAGAAACAATGATTGGAAACTGATCAAAGAGAGAAGCAACCTGGAATTAAAGAGAAAGTTCCTAACAGTGAGGACAATTAACCAGTGGAACAGCTTGCCTCCAGAAATCGTGGGTGCTCCATCCCTGGAGGTTTTTAAGAAGAGACTAGACAATCATGTGTCTGAAATGGTATATGATTTCCGGCCTGAGCAGGGGGTTGGACTAGATGACCTCCGAGGTCCCTTCCAGCTCTATTCTGAATTCCAAAACTCATTGATAACCCAACCAAGATTGTATCATGACCCAAATATCCACATCTTCTGGAAAGGTTCTGTTTTGCTCTGTTTCCATACGGCTGTCATAATAGGAGCCCTTTGGATACCCATTGGGAAGCTATTCCAAAAGAATGGGACTGCTTCTAAAAATACGCCACTTCCAAGTCTCAGCCCCCATCGCCTGCTAAAATAGGAAATCACTAACAGGTTTTTTTCTAGATAAATCTTATTTCTAATTGTTACAGTCTAATTGCTATTTTCTAAAAGCCTCTGAGCTGCAAACCGCTCTTGTGAGCAAAACCCATTGATTTAATAGGGATTCAGTTTTGAGTAAACATGCATTGGTCCATAGATTGTAGGCAGACCTCCAAGGTTTCTGAAATATAAATTTACTTCTCAAAGAACAACACAAAGTACTCAGTTGCCAAGTTTAAAAAAAGTATTCATTGATAAGAACATACGTAGCAAGGGTCAGGTTTTGGGAGTGATAAATTCCTAAGTTAGATCCTGTGAGTGATCATTTGAATCACTTAATTGCTTTATTACATAAATCAATTAGAAGCCTTGCTAATTTAGATCAAAGGAAATAGGAAAAGTTATTCTAAGCAATCCATGCTAATTTTTAACACTAACATCCACAGAGAATGAAATGCTGCTGAATTTCCCTGGGTTAGATAACGAACCTCTTTGATTGTTAGCTATAAACAGTGCTTGTATATGTCATCTAATTGAGCCAAAAAATTTATTGCTACAATTAAATCTTTTCCAATGCATTCCATTATCTTCAGTGCAGCTAAAAAGGCAACTATTGTTGCTTGAAACAAGGTATATTATTTATAAAATGGTACTGCTCACTCTTTCCTCACCATGTGACCCTTACCCAGAGTTTTTAATTTAAATCTCACCAAACAACATAATGGCCTAGGAGTTTGTTTAGCCATTTGACTTCCTTTATCACATAGAGATGGCAAACATTCTGTTGCTAACTTGATGTGGCTCCAGGCAGCAAGCTAAGAGGATATTAAACTAGTAAAAGCTTATCAACTGATTCATTGATACGCTGTAAATTCCAGGCTTTTCATTTTACTTTTAAGTCAACACATTAGTAAGCAATTTGCTGACATCAAGATGGATTGCTTTAAAACAGCTCCCCTTGGCAGACAAAGTTCATTTTGATGCTTTTGTGTGCATCTTTATTTAATCATGTTCTTGGGCGTCACCTAAAACCTGTGACTGATGGTGCTTTACATACAGCTAAAAATGTTTAGAATGCCTCCACTGTCATATGGTTTATGTTGAAAAGCACAGGGGTGACAAAGGAAAGCACTTGATTTGGATAGGGAATCATTTCGGAACAGCTATTTTCATGGAAAGTAAAAAAAAAATCTCCTTTTTAAAATTGCAAGTGCTCTTTATACTTGTTAAATGGGTTTTGTTTTGGTTTTTCTGAAGAAAAAATAAATGGTTTTAATGTCTGTTGCCTCTCCTTCACACTGGCATGGGAAGGACGTTTCAGATAGAAAACTATGTGCATGTGAGTCTTAAATGTACAAGTTTTAAAACAAAAAGCATTTTGTACTTAATCATAACTATACAACATACATCCATGTCTAGAATTTAAGCAAAAAAAAAAAAAACACAAGTCAGAAGAGAAAAAAATTAAGGATTACTCTAGCCTTGCTTTCTGCAAATGTCCCCCGTTTCTTTATCTTACCTGAAAAATAAAAAAGAAACAAGAATGTTGCTGTGCCAGTTGCTCTACTTTAAACATAAGACATTGTACGGCTGCTGCAAGATACAATATCAGTAGATCAGAACACACATAATTCAGTAGCGCATGGAAATGATAAACAATAATAAAAATCATGAAAGATTTACTCTGGGGTGTTTCCCTGACAAAGAAATAGCTTTGGAAGAGGGTAAATTGTATAGTCTATGCCATCCAAGTAAGTCAGATATTAATATCAAATAGTTCCAATAGAAACCAAAACTTTCCCAAAGAATTTATCACAAACTATGTGAGATTGCAAAACTTGGGGGGGGGGGGGAATGAAGTGCAGGACCCCAGCCAAGGTTGGTATGCAAGCTCCAAATTAAATGAATTTTTGTGATAGTCCTAGATCAGAATAAGTATCTTCCATTTATATCCCAGCTTCCATGAAGAGCTTACGACCAAATCAAAAAAACATACCCATCACAACAATTAGTTGAGACCTTTTTGAGTCAAACAAGTTAGTCACAAGAGGAGATTGAGATCATTGTACTGCTCGTTGTTGATAAATACACAATGTGCAGATATTTGAAAGGGATGCTAAGAAAATATTCAGTACAGAAACAATTAATGGTTTCGAAACATTGGGCACGGCAGAGCATTGAAGCTGCATTCCTTTTTTGAGTGCCTGCAAAATGTACTACGCACATCAAAACCAATCAAGGCTTTATTGGGGTGATATTGGCATCATCATGATCCAATTCTCACAATGCACTAAACCAGTAGTGGTGAACCTATGGCATGTGTGCCAGAGGCGGCACTCGGAGCTTTCTCTGTGGGCACTTCTCTGAACTGCTGGTGGTGGGCTGCAGAGCCCCAGAATGCACTGGTAGAGGTGCCGGCAGGCTGTGGTTGCTGATGGAGATTGTTGGCCCCCATGCGCTCGCTGGCCTCTGTGTGCGGGGGCTGATGGTGTTAGGCAGAAGCTGCCCCGGCCCCTGCCTTGCCTTGCCCTGAGATAATGGCACCCCCACCCTGCCTTGCCTCACCCCGCAGGATGAGCCTCCTACCCACCACCCCACTTGCCAGAGTCCCCCTGGATCTCCCCCAACCCTGCCCGGCCCCCACAGGCGTTCCTCCCCATGAGCAACATCGAGGACCACACCCACCTTGGCCACACCCACCCAGTCTGCCATGACCACCACAGCCATGCCCACTCAGTGGGCCACACCCACCCGGCAATAAATAAGTGGGTTTTGGGTTGCAGTTTGGGCACTTGGTCTCTAAATGTTTCGCCATCACTGCATTAAACCATGATATGGTTAATTTGGGTTGTGGCTTAAAATTTATAGCTGAAGCTGAACAATCCTGTGTTTACAGTAAAAGAGAATGCATACAGGTCAGGATTGAATGGGGCACACTGATGTTACCTAGATTGGTCATAAAAGTATCTGCATAAGCAACCGACCTCTCAGAGTACCAAGGACTCCACAATATCAAATAGAAAAACTACTACAGCGTGCATTGTCTGTGAGTGAGTATTTGTATGTATGTGTGCATGCATACATTTGTTCCCTGATTAAGGAAGGTCAGTTGCAGTGAAATACTTTGCATGCTGGATTCCATCTTTAACATCCCTCATAAGAAATCTTGGGAAAATAAAAAATAGTAGAATAACTGGGACTGCAGCAAACGTTCAATGTAAAATCTATTTTTTGTATTTTTCTTTTTAAAAAAGTTATATGGGAGAAGTGGATTAATGCATGCATCCCCAAGAATGACTTTTCTTGGCAACCCGTTAAATCTGAAAACCCACACACTTCAACCTTCATTTTATGTAATCCATATATAAATATAAAAACTGATCAACATCCATAAATATGGCAGTTTTGTGTACCAAACTAAACTTGTGGACCTAGTCATCAATACTTTTAATTTATCCATATGAAAATAAACCAAACCACATGGCTGCAATTCTAGCAACTTTTTTTTTTTTTGAAAATTTTTATAAGTTTTTACAAAAAAACAGAAAAAAATATAACAATACAAAAACAGAAAACAACATATACAAAAAACTAAACATAACATCCCCTTCCCCATCCCCCCCCAAAACACCCCCCCTTCCGCCCCCTGAGCTTCCCAGAGCAGAATATAGGCTTAATTAAAAAGGAATTTAAAAAAATTATATATAAAAAAGAAAAAAAAATAAGACTGAAATATATGTATATGTATATAAAAATAAGAATTATGAAAAAGCAATATGATATTTTTTTATATCCAATTTAAATTGTATAAATTCTATCCATTTATCCCAAACAGAAAGAAATTTCTCTTGCGTTTGTTCCTTTAAAAAAGCCGAAATCTTTGCCATTTCCGCCAAATAGGACACTTTAAAAAACCATTCCTGCAGTGTAGGCAAGGATTCCTTCTTCCAATATTGTCCTACTAACAGCCTTGCGGCTGTAATCAAATTTAACATCAATATAACCTCCTTTGTATCACAATCAGTAACTATACCCAACAAAAATAACTGCGGAGTAAATTTTACCCTCCTTCTAAAAATTCTCTGAATATTCCACCATATCTTAATCCAAAATGCTTTTATCTCTCTGCACGACCACCAAATGTGGTAATAGGTGGCATCCAAGCAACCACATCTCCAACATTTAGGCTGTAAGTCCGGGTACATGAAAGACATTTTTTGTGGGTCAAGGTGCCATCTATAAAACATTTTATAAAAATTCTCCCTTAAATTCTGTGCCTGTGTAAATTTGACATTTCTTACCCAAATAGTTTCCCATGTGTCCAGTGGGACTGATTCACCAAAGTTTTGGGCCCATCTAATCATACAATCTTTAATTAATTCCGTTTCTGAGTCCAATTCAACTAGCACCCCATAAATTCTCTTAATATGGGCTTGTCTTTGATCCTTCACTTGCTTAATAAGATTTTCATCTTCTCTAAGAAAGCCCACCTTACAATCCACCTTCGATCTATCTGCTAGTTGCCTATATTGAAACCAAGAATAAATAATATTTTCTTGTGCTAACTCCTCCCGTGATTTTAATTGCCAATTTTGTCCATCCCATCTGAGTAGCTGTCTATAAGACACCATATCCGTTTTAACACCTCTTTTTATTCCTTCTATCGCATGCCAGGGTATAGCCCATAATGGTACTTTAAAATCACTTTTATAATATTTTCTCCAAATCCTAAGTAAAGAAGTTCTTATAATGTGAGATTTAAAAGCCCAATCCACTTTTTTTATTAAATATTAAATAGGCATGCCACCCATAAAGTAAGTCCCATCCCTCTAGATGGAGTATCTCAAGATTTGTCAAATTTGCCCAGTCACTGATTAGTGTTAAAGCCACCGCATCATAATATAATTTCAAATTTGGTACCTTGAGTCCACCTCTCTCACGGAAGTCTTGCATAATTTTAAACTTAACCCTTGGCTTTTTCCCTGCCCAAATAAATTTATTAACACCCTTCTGCCATTCACTTAGATTAGTCTCGTTCTTCAAAATCGGGTAACATTTGAAACAAAAAAAGAAACTTGGGTAGAATATTCATTTTGATCACTGCAATTCTTCCCATGAGAGATAGTACTAGCAACTTATCTTAAAGAGATAATGTAATTAATTTGATAAAGAGTCCTCATTAAAGAAAGTCCTGTTAAAGTTGTGCTGAGCTCTTACAGATTCAACTTTATGACTTTTTAAATTGTTTAATCTCTAGATTTAAATTATGTAACATGCTGCACATTCTTTTCTGGGAGAACGCCCATAGCTGCACTTAGTATTTATGGAATCTGTAGAGCTGCATAGTACATGCTGTGCTGTTTACATGTAATCTATACCAGAGGTCCCCAACCTTTTGGGCACCAGGGACCGGTTCTGTGGATAGAGGTTTTTCCATGGACTGGAGAGTGTGTGGTTTTGTGTGCTGCCTGCATCTCACGGATGGGGCTTTGCTTGTTTGTGCGGACTGGTTGCTGGCATGCTGTGGCCCGGTACTGGTCCACGGACCAGGGGTTGGGGACCCCTGAGCTATACCATTTAAGTGAAACGGTTTATCTTAAACCAGGAAATTAAAAATTATCTTATTTTTGAGATACTTAGTAATAATTTTGAATAATTTGATGGATCAAAAAAAATGGAGTTGGCATTCTTTTCATGCTGCAGATTTCAGTCTCACATCCATGTAATTCCAAGGATTCAACCCTGCAGGACAAAAAGTAGGAATCAGCCAACTGAATAGATGGGCACCGTGTATGATCAGTATTATCTTTGTTCATGCGAGATATTTAGGAATCCAACACAACTTATTTATTTTAATCCCAATACAGTACTTCTGTGCTAATCTAGCACACAGAAAATATATAGGAGACTCATGAAAACCACAATATTTCCAGATATTGAAAATATGCTTAGAATTAGAAAGTGCATTTTGAAACACCCTCACAAAACTTCTGCCTTCATGTGACCAAGCCTGCAGGGGGAAATTGACAAAGAGCTGAGGAAGAAATGTGGGATGGAATAACCAGAAATGAAAGAGAGAGGATTACACAAATGAAGAAAAGCCTATTATATCTGATTTTATTCTCAGAATGGAGCCACTGAAATCAGTACAGGTTTTAGTGAGTTCCAGTAAAATAGTCAAGCAAATGATGTAGCTTGATTTCTGTGTCCACTCTCAAAATTCAAAATGTAGAATGGGAACCAAAATACAGATCGTCTTCAGCTTACAACATTCATTTCCAATGGCACTGAAAAAAGTGACTTATGACCATTTTTCACACGGCCATTGCAGTAGCCTCGTGGTCACATGATCAAAATTTGGATGCTTGACAACTGACTCTATTTCTGATGGTTGCAATGTCCCGGGATCATGTGATCACCTTTTGTAACCTGATAAACAAAGACATTAGGGAAGCCAGATTCGCTTAACAGACATATTACTAACTTAACAGCTGTACTGATTCACTTAACAACCGTGGCAAGAAAGGTCGTAAAATGGGGCAAAACTCAATAAATACCTCACTTAGCAACTTATGACTCAATTGTGGTCATAAGTCGAGGACTACCTGTACGCCAAAGAAATAGTGAGCCAGTTCAATAGGCCTGAAGATACTTGGGGGAAAAGAATATGGTGGAGAAATGATTATTGAAGCTGCCTGCATCAAGTGCCCCGAATGTGTCCTTCACTACCCGACAGATAAAAGTGATATTTTAGAATAAAAAAGCATGAATTATAATCTGTTGCAGATCTCCACTTGTTAAGCTGTTAATACTGGAAGTTTTTAAGAAGAGACTGGACGGCCATCTGTCCAAAATGATGTAGGGTTTCCTGCCTGAGCAGGGGGTTGGACTCGATGACCTCCAAGGTCCCTTCCAACTTTATTACTATTACTATTAGAACCTTGAAAAGGATTATTGTTTCATTGTACTATTGTTCCCCTAGGTTTGATGCAGAAAATGAAACCAATCGTCATACTGTTTTCCAGCGTCTTGCTTTACAATCTCTAACAGCAGATGCAAAAAATAATTTTCTTTCCCGCCATTCTAGTGACTATCAAAAAGAAATAGGGTTCTTATTAGATTTGTTCTTCAGTTGAGCCACAATTTTTATTAACATCCTACAAAAGAGATTTATTTTGATAAAATGCTACATGGACCTCCCCCCCCCTCCATTCTTAACTCATTAATAACAAAAATGTTTTTCTCATCTTCCAGCTTACTGAGATCTGCCAGCGATTACTGAATTCCTACGATACCTGTATTGACGAATTCTTCTGTGAGATAGATTCCACTGTAGCTGCAAGTCACGAAGTATTTCAGCAACTAGAAGAAAAGTTGGGCCCAGAGATATATGAAGTTGAGTGGGAAAAAATTCAGATTCAGGTTGGTTTCTGAGTAAGCAAATAACCAAGCTCAGAGAGCACTAAGTAAAATGTTATGTGATCACATCATCTTATGTCAATTCTAGCCATGGTTGTAAGTACAATGTCACATGGCTACAACTTGCAACTTCCTGCCAGCTTCTGCATTGGCTTTGCTCATTGGAAGTGGCCATGGAGGATGTAAATCATGATCATGTATCCATGGGATGCTCCAAACAACCAAAATGTGCATTTGTTGCCAAACTCCCAAATTGTGATCATATGACTAGAGATAGTTATGCCCACAATTTCCAGGACTGATTGCAAGACTAGCACCACAGTAACTTTGAACAACTGCTGAATGAGCATTTGGTAAACAAGAACTACCTGTACTTTGACTTATATACATGGTTCAGGCCTATTTTGCTCTTACAACGAATCTATAGTCTGAGGAGCCACAAACGGTCACTAACATAAATTTGTGGCTGAATCTGGAGTTAGACCAACACTGTGTTTCCGATTCTACCGTTCCTTTCATTAAACCACATTTGTATATAATGCTGGGTATTTTGCTCACTTAACAAAGACAGTTGTTGATTCTTGCCAAATTCTCCAATTTAGCATTAGCAGCACAGATGTGATTTTATCTTACTTGCTGTTTGTTTTTGCTGTTCAGCATCAGTATTTTAATATCCAAGAATTAAAACTGTAAAACTGTATCTGTATTTAAAATATTTTTTTAATTTTTGAACAAAGCATTTTTATTACTATAACCAGAATAAATCGTCCCAAAGTATAAAAGACGTAATAAATTCATAGAAGCAGCTTTGATGGCCAGGCACTCTATTCTCTGACCTTGCCAACCTTTGTTTTAGGCATTCCGACAAGATATTGCCGATTGTCCTATTTGCATTATGCCACTCACGCAGCCTGCTCAACTTCAGAATGGACTTTCCCAGGATGGCTATCAGTCATGTCCCCGTCAGACAGCGCTGCTCTCCTGTTCTCACATGTTCCATAGCACCTGTCTTCAAGCATTTGAAGAGTTTTCTTTAGGAGAAAGACCTATCTGCCCTTTATGCCGTTCCTATTATCAGAAGAAAATTCTCAGCTAACAATTTTAACATACATTATGAATATATTTGTAAGAGACCTAGTATGTTAATTGCATTTCAGCGGGAGGGGGTACACAAATTATTTTTTTTCTGATGAGTGCATGTGTGTGTAAACCTAGGAAGTGCTGTCACTAGAGATATTCCAGTCGTTAAGGTCTGGGGTAGGATTCAAGTTTTCTTCTGTGTCACTTCAGTTGAATATTTGCATGCAGGGACAGTCCCACAAATCCTAGTGGATTGTCAGAAAGGGAGAAAAGCTCCACATCCCTGGAGAAATCTGAATCAACTGAATCAAACAATTCTTCATAAAATTCTGTAGGCTGAACATCTAATATTCCCAGTCTGTCAGGCTTCTATCAATCAAAACTAGGATTCTGTATGTATCTATTAGCCAAAGGCAACAGAAAGAATAATTGCTGCATTGTATAATGTTTTAGAGATGTTTATAATTCTAGCAAGTTTCCTGACGGGGAATCATGATTGGGTGACCAATGTTCCTCATCTGGATACATGTAGATATACATGTAGAATGTGTCTCCACAAGCCAGAGATGAGATTTTCCTGTAAAGTTCTTGACTGTATTGTTCTCCGCTCTGTTCGCTATACAGTTTAATGCATTGTTTTAGGAAGTGAGGTGTTCCTCTTAATTCTATGCAATGGCCAAAGAACATAGCTGTTGATGTGCAAAACACCCGATTTTGGAAGTGAAAGATTGGACTCTCCTCCTGGACAATGTCAGGAAATGCTTTTTTGTAAATTCTTGTAGACCTATCTAATGGGAGAACAGTGAGATCATATTTCAAGAGATGGGGGTAGAATTAATTAACTGAAGAAACCACTAACTTATTTGGGGTGGAGATGCTTTGCCTGGAGCTCATCTTTTTTTTTTTTTTTTTTTTTTGACAATACTTGCAAGATTCTATAATCCTGATACTTGTTCAGGCTAAGGCAAGAATTGCATTAGTACAGCTCAAGAACTCTCCTCACAAAATGTTTTAATAACAAAGGGTACCCCCTGTTCTCACATGGGCTTTGTTCAGTCCATTTATGCCTGAGATAGGCAATATGCTTTCTTTGATCAGGGGCTTGAGGATAATCTGTTAGAAGCTGCATGCCACTGGTGAATGAAGCTGAAGCTGAATGGGATTGCCTACTTTTTCCCCTAAGAACCCTTTTCTCTCTTTGCTATCTGCTTTTCTGCACACTATTATATCTCCTCCCCACCCCACATTCTTCTGTGTCAGCAAAAGGAGATAGATTACTGTTTCCTGAGGCCCAGGTTGACTGTAGAAAAATGTATTTATTAAACTTGGGGAAATTAGATAAGAGATGCATATGACCTTGTGACTGTACATTATTACCTATCTCTAATTTAAATAAAAGGGTTTTAGAAATGATAAGATTTTAGGGACATTGTTAATGTACCCAGAGACCTCACTTATGCAAAAAGATACATATTTTTCAAAACCAATAATCCAAATTTCTTTGAAGAGCATTATCAAGTACTGTGGATCAGGAAAGAAAAATGCTGTTTTGATATAAGTAAAATACCTCTCAATTGGGACATGGAAGGAACACGCTTTGTTAAGTAAGCAAATGTGATGCATACTCCAAACTTTATACCACCGTATGCAATTATAAAATTTTTTTCAATAAAACTCCTTAGAATCAAGTCATAGAAGAAAGTCTTGTCAAATACTTTAATCATCACTAAACAGGCAAATGTGTTTAAGTGTGAATAAAAAAGGGTGAAGGTCACATTACATTCAGCTAACCCAACGTCCTAGTAATCTGTACTTCTGAATTAACCTATGTCCAGTTAAGCTTAGCTTTAAAAGGTGAATAGCAAAGATGTGCTCAAGTCGTAACAGCAGATCTGTCATAATATGTCCACACTGTATTATCACTCTATCATGGAGAAAGCTAAACAAAAACCCACTTGAAACACTTGCTTTGCACATTTTTGCTCTGCTTTGATAGATACCTAGTACATTTAAGGAAAGCATATTTGTGCTTAAGCCTCATAATAAATGAGGCAAAGGTTGATACCTGAAGATAAGCTTTGTTATACCTCAAGAAGTACAAGTACTTAACTCTAAGAATCAAACAGCTAGGAATGCATTATCTATATTCAATGAATTATGAACCAAATATATCTTTTCTGACTTTATAAAATATTTCTGAGTGATTTTTTTAAAAACATAGTGGCAAGTAAAAACATCATTTCCAAAGTAGTCTACAATAGGTCATTTCACAGAGACAAAGCCAAGAAACAGAGGAGCTCAAAGATATGTATCTTTCTGATGCCACTCATCTAACATCCATTTTCAAAACAACATTATCATAAATCTGTGTATGAGGATAAAAGATGAGCAGCATTTTAAAAATGAGATTCTATGCAGTCTTTCTATACTACAAAACAGGTGTGATGCTTGCACTAGAACCAGATTAAGGTGTGAAATGTTTCTAAGGCAAAGACAGAATACTCAAATGCATGGGATGAAAAATTGAACTGATTACAAAACATCCAAGCCTAATTCAAAATAACTAAAGAAGTATTTACTTTCCAGCATATGCCTTTATTTTAATGGGGATTTGTATTCAAAGGAGTTGCAATGGATTAAGCCTTCAATCAATGTCCATGTAGGAAATGCTTCTTCCCTTGAAAATTATGATTGTTGTTTATGTGTTGTTAAAAATTAGTTTAGAAGTTGCTGAAAATTGAAAGTTCAGTTTTAACTGTTCTTCATCTAGACCAGGGGTAGGCACCCTTGGCTCTTTTATGACGCATGGACTTCAACTTCCAGAATTCCTAAACCAGCCATGCTGAGGGGAAAGGGAAATGCTGGCTCAGGAATTCTGGGAGTTGGAAGTCCACAAGTCATAAAAGAGCCAAGGTTGCCTACTCCTAATCTAGACACAAATTCACAAGGAATAAAATCCTAAATCACACCCATGACTAAATTTAGCATATTTTCGTGAATGTTGCCCTAAACCAGGATTTCCAAGAATTCAGCTTACTTAGATAAAATATTAATTTATCACAGTAGCTCATATTTAACAATATATTTGAATTATCATGAAAAGGAAGCTAAACTGACCTAAAAGTGATTACCATTTCAAGTTGTGATACTTCAATATTTGAAATCATGTCAGTGAGCTAATTTTGCTATAGCATTCACTGTAGTGAATAATCCACTGCAATTCATTGCAAATTCTTAGAATCTCCTTTTTGAGTATGTTATTCCACACTACTATTGGTTATGCTAGAAAAAAACCTTATTATATATTTGCTACAATTCTTACATTCCAAATAATGCAAAATTCATTAATAGAAGAAACAGTACAAAAGTTAAGAAACAAGTTTTTGATGTCCAAGAACTCCATACTCAATATAAAACATGTTTATGAATCCTATGAAATTAGCAACATCATAATCCAAAACACCTGAATTAAATATCTGGACACTGTGTAATGTGTTGAGACTATTTTGAGACTTTGGATTTAAAGATATTTGTAGAGATTAACAGTAACAGATTAACAGCAACAGATTTTCCACAAAGAGAAATACTTGAAGTTACAAAGTCCCAATAAACTAACCTTGATCAAATGATTATACAGGAAGTAAGATCACTCCATTGGAACAAGTCATCATAATGATGTTTACCATCTACCTGCCTCTACTCACAGTACATTACTAAACAAATGCAGCTTAACTTCCTTCTATCTTTTTACAACTTCACAGGATTTTGTAAACTTCAACAGTGTAGCAACACCCAAGTACATGCTGTCTCAACTATACCATATCTAAAACCCTGAACAAGAATCTTAAGTTTTCATATCATAAACTAAGTAAATGCTAGCTCAATTCTGTGTTCATAAAAAGTAGACATATGTACACATATGAACTACTAAAAGAATTAATGAAAAAAATACCTTGTTCAGCAAAATAAAATATATTTATCAGTCATAGGAATGGGCATCATTTAAAGACAATTTTGTGAAAATTGGGTGCAATTGTTTTCTTCTCAGAGTTTATACATATGTATATTTTACACACATTTTTGCTCATATTGTTTAGCCAAGTATGACAATCATGTTTTTAGGTATGATTATACATACAATGATCAGAAATCTACAATTAGTTTCCCAGGCTCAGATTTAGCACTGCAGTTGTGAGATTATGTTATTGCATAATCAGGGTTTGCAAAGGAAATTATCCCTAGCAAAAAATGGGGCAGCTTACCCTTTAGAACTAAGAACTGTTATCTTAGATACAATCATAGTGCAAACTGATTTGATGGGTAGATTAATGTATTAATCCTGAGCCTTATTGTGCTCTCACAAGTTTTCAGAATGCATCTCACTGGGGGGGAAAAATCAACATCTTCGCCATTTTCAGATAGCAAGTTCATCTCCCAAATTCATCTTGAACAATGTATTTACATGCAGAAGATTTTTATCCTTGGATTCAGAGATCCGTATGGAGGCCTGTTCAAAGAGGAATGTTCAAGAGAGGTCTCCAGTTGACAGAAAAAAATAAAGTGGATCGGTGCAAGGAGGAAGAGTACAATCCAATGCCACCAGATTTCTTCTGCATCAACCTGAATCCAAGGTATAAACCAGTAAAAGCAGTAGAAATCAAGTTCAGTGAGCTGAGAGGAATGTCAGGAAGCTGAAAGGCTCATTTCCGCCAACTGATTCACAGTGTTTTCTGATGTCCATTTGCAGAAGGTTTTGTTGTCTCAGGGTCTCTTGCCCTGTGCGAGAGATGCAGTTTATCTAAACCTGCGAAACGCAGAAAAAACACAGTAAAGTTTATGTTTCGTTCTTCTGATCTTTTGTGAAGAGTCAATAAATATATGCAGGGAAGGAAGTATAAGATGAATGATCAGAATTAAGTTGAATTAAAAATATGTGTAGGGAAGGAAGTGTTAAGATGTATAGCAGGGGTCTCCAAGTCCTGGTCCGCGGACCGGTACCGGGCCACAGCATGCCAACAACTGGGTCTCACAAACAAGCAGAGCCCCATCCGCAGGATGCAGGCAGCACACAAAACCACGCCCTTCCGATATGTGGGAAAACCTCTCTCCACGGAACCGGTCCGTGGTCCCCAAAAGGTTGGGGACCTCTATTGTATAGGGTTTCCTATTTGAAGAAGGGGGATGGACTAGAAGACCTCGAAGGTCCCTTCGAACTCTGTTTTTCTGGTAATTATAAATGACAGAGCTAAAATGTATCTCAAAGTATGAAATGGGATTATCTAGATTGCTGTAAGAGTGCATGAAGTCCATAGGTGGGTGATTGGATGTGGGTGAGTAGTATTGGTAAAAGAACCAGAAATGTGTTTTGGGATAAACTGCAACTGTCTAAATCAGACATGTTAAACTTGCGATATCACGTGACACTGTGCAACGTTATCGGGACTGTTTTGCCATTGCCGGCAATGGGATGGGTGCGGCTTCCGAGTGACGCATCCAGCCCACAAGCCGGCAGATGGACACCCCTGGTCTAAATGAATGCAGCTGGGATTGGAAAGGGATTGTTTTCTTAGGTGGGCTGAATGGATGAGTGGGAATCTCCCCTCAGACAGGGACTCTGGTTGGTGTACAATAAAAATGTTAAAATATAAAACAGCATGTAAGAATTTAAAAAATAGAATTTAAAAAAATAGAATTTAAAAGGGGCAAGGATGATTAAACCCTGTTAGATATTAATAACTTACTAATAAAGGTATGTGGAAGTGAGACCTGCAACTTCAATCAGAATTCAATGGGAATGAGCTATAGGGTGGAAAAAGAAGCGATAGATGAAGAATGAAGAGGGTAGTGAATATAGCAGATTGAATATAAAAATGAGTACAGGTAGTTTTTGACTTACAACCATTTGTTTAGTGACCAATCAAATTTAGGACAGCACTGAAAAAAGTGACTTATGACCATTTTTCATGCTTATGGCCGTTGCAGCATCCCCACGGTCACGGAATCAAAATTCTGGCGCTTGGCAACTGGCACGCATGTCATAAATTTCCCTATCAAATAGGCAGAGTAGCAGTTAGCAGTTCTGAAATCAAGCTTTATATGGGGAACAGAAAAGCACTTAATAATGAATCATTCTCCCTAGCACAGGGGTAGGCAACCTTGGCTCTTTTATGACTCGTGGACTTCAACTCTCAGAATTCCTGAGCCAGCCATGCTGGCTCAGGAATTCTGGGAATTGAAGTCCACGAGTCATAAAAGAGCCAAGGTTGCCTATCCCTGCCCTAGCATAGCCATGTCACCTTCTCTAGCACAATATCAAGTGTATAAATATTAAAAAATACTGTCATAAAAGGAAGAGAAAGTGGGTTACCTAATGCTTTGAGGAGTTCTTCTCTAACTGCAGAGGTGAACTTTCTCACCAGGCACAGAGTTGTCATGACAGCAAAAAGAAGATTGTAGCTCAACACTATGTAGAAGTTTCCTAACCAGTTAAACCTTCCAAAGTCCCCAAGGAGATCAAACCTGGTGATGCCTAATAAAGGGTGAGGGGAGAATATATTAATAAAGTTTGAACAGATACTTAGGAATTTTAAAACAATCTAATACATTGCATATATCTTTTCACATAAAATTTGATAAAACAAATTTAAAACCCAAATATTTATACTCTATTTTTTTCTGTTCATCACTATTTTAAATTACACTTCAAAGATATTGTCTACTGTATTAGAAAAAAACCATATCACAGCAATGATACTGTATTTATTTGATAAAATTGAATGATATAATCCTCCATGCCAAGCAAGATCATAAAGGAAAATATTGATAATCTGCATAACAAATTATCTTCCAAAACTATTAAAGATGAAAATACTACATCATCTTTTCAACTCTTTGATACAATAATGTTTACAAAAATTAATTCTGCATTCAAATAAATGAAAAGTAATTTGATAAAAGGGAAATTTTCTTTCCCATTTACCTTTCCCCTCCTAAGAACAGCTCAATACTCCTTTTACCATCCTGAAATAAACTATTTTAAGATTAAAGCTTCTGTTTATGAATCTGTTCAATTTCTTTTCATCTAACCAGTGTTACTGGACATAATGCAATGTGGCAAACATGCCCAATACTCCTCCTTTTTATTTTCTTCACAACAACAACCCTTGGAGGTAAGTTGGTCTGAGAGAGAATGACTGGTCCAAAGTCATCCAGCCAACTTTCATGCTTAAGGCAGGACTAGATCTCACAAAGTTTCTAGTTTTGTGGGGTAGGTAACCTTGGCTCTTTTATGACTTCAATTCCCAGAATTCCTGGGCTAGCATGGCTGGCTCAGGAATTCTGGGAGTTGAAGTCCACGAGTCATAAAAGAGCCAAGGTTGCCTACCCCTGCTGACTAGACCAAACCAGCTATTTTGATACATACTGACTGTTCTAAAGCCTCACATGACCCATTGTACTCTATCATGGTTACTAATTTTATTTGTTGTGTCTATGTACTTCGTTAATTCTCCTTTAACTATTCGTCATTCCTGGTTTACTCCTCTTTATAACTTTAAAGCAAACGAACATTTACAGACTCAAAAGAAATTGTAGGTATTTTGTCTTGGGTAAAACAACAAATGCACCTAGCATCAAATAAACAAACGAACAAACGAATGAATGTTTTGTACCATTAAATTGCATGAGGGTTGTACTTATTAAAAGAATTACTGGAAATAACCATACCTAAGACAACCTAATGTGATCCCACTGAATAGAATTCCCATTGAACATGCTGAAAAATTTGTAGCTATTAAACTAGGGTTATCATGAGAAATGTTCGCTTACGTTTGCATTTTCCAACTAGGAAAAATTATAGAAAAACTTTCAACAATTTAAAGTCAAGTTCTGAAAGGATGACATTTAACCAACATTCCATCCATGGAGTGATGGAAGTGATAGGTGAACAGAAGTGACAAAGCTCTCTTCATTCATAATGCTTAAAAGGCCAAATAAAATAAAGAAGCTCAAACTATACATTAATTAGCTTATCAAGCACCAACACATTCTGTGAAGTTCAGAAACTGACTAGAGATCAGTTTAGCTATCCCGAGCAAATATTCCACTAACCTAATTTATAATTTAACCTGATTACACATAATGTGTAGAAGAGATCACTGTAGCCCAAGAATTAGAACTATTGTTAATCAGAGTGAAGAGAAAATACTTTTTCAGCAGGTTCTACTTAGGAACTTCAAGGAGATGAAGAGGTTTTGAAATCTTTAACTCACGGGTGTCAAATCACCACATCACGTGACTTTTTTGCATTGCTGGGGTGGGTGTGGGTGTGGTATCCGTATGATGCAATCAGCCCGCGGGCCAGCAGTTTGTCACCCCTGCTCTAACTGATAACACAGAACTAGCCACTGCTTCACTAAAAGTGATTTCAGGACAAGTTTTAATATTTTGGTTGCCAAACTAGCTTTGGTTCCTTTGACCCTTTGACCATAAGGATCCCATTAATTCTGCTAGATCTGTATGCGGTTTTCAATCATTTTGATCACAACAGCTTTCTGGTTAGGCTGTCCAAGTTGGGAAATTGGGACTGTGTAATCCAATAGCTCTTTTAACTTTAGAGACAAGTTTTAGGAATGTTGCATAGTTCTGTGGCATTCTGCACACAAGACCTCCTAAGCATTTTAGTCTCTATACAAGCCACCAAGTGAGATGGATTTACAATACAGATTCAACTTCTCCAGCCTTTTCCACTTGACCTGGGTCAAGAATAGAAGTGCTGAATCTGTATCTAGATTTATAAACGAATTGTCAATGAGCTCCGGAAAAAAAAAAAAAAAGGAAGCTCTTTGCTGACAGATCAGAGATTGCTCTATCCACTCTGCTGGCAGGTAAGACCAAGAATTTTCTTTTGCGGTCCCTAGGTGGCGCAAGAGAGGACCCTTTCAACCAGTTTAGGGACTGAGAAGTGATGCAGATATGAAAGACAAGAGATGATCCTCTGTTCAAAAACAACAAAAATCTTCTTTTTTGCTAAGAGGGGGAGTATTCAGACTCTCATTTCATAGTAAATCCAATATTTCTTTTCCTACAATATATGAACAATATCTTTAGCCAGCACTTACTAAAGCAGCCCTCAGTGGGATGGGAACAGAATTATGAAGAAGGCACTATTTTGTCCGATAAACAAATTTTCAAAGGGGGTCTCAGATTAAGTTTTTACTACCTGATCAAGGAAGAGACTGAGCACCAAGATACCACCATGTATATGTCACCCAACAAGCATTCATAAAAAGGCAGCTGTAACTTCTGTGATGCAGGCTTTGTAGCAGTGGCTATGTAAATTTTTATTCACCAATACCATCAGTGGCTTGCTAGGAGTACATGAGGAGATAATAATTATCCCAGACCTTAATTCTCTTGAGATAAAAATCCGATTGCTCTTTGAATGGTTAGTCCAAATTGGATGGAAACCAGCGAATGAGTCTAGGAGGTATTTAATGTATTGGATTTCAGCCTGTTTGAAATTTACTTGCAAAAAGTGTAATATTCGAGAAATTGACATAACGTAAGGCAAGATTTCCTTCTTTCTCCTCCAGTGGCCAAAGATATACTAGACAATCTCATAAATATAAGTCACTGGTCCTTTGCCCTACACATTCTAGGCAAACGGCTGTCCAAACTCTTCTTAAAAACACCCACAACATCTGAAGGTAAATCGTTTCACTGATTAATCATTCTGTAGGGAATTTCTCCTTTTTCTAATTGATTCTCTCCTTGATAAGGTTCCATCAGTTAATTCTTGTCCTGTTCTCAGATGCTTTGGAGAATAGGTTGACACACACATCCACACCCATGTGAGGCCGATCCCTTTCACAATTACTGTTGTTGATCTAGGAGTCCTAATGGACAACCACTTACATATGAGCCAGCAGTATGCTGCAGCTGCCAAAAAAAGCCAATTCAGGCTAGGCTGCATCAGTAGAGGAATAATAAAAGGTCATGTGAAGTGTTAGTACCATTTTATACTGCTTTGGTAAGACCACACTTCTCCTATTCTATACCTGTGCCTTTAGTTTTTCTTGACTAAGTATAAAACCTTAATTTTCTCATATCTGAATTGCATTTTGTTAGATATGGGCCAGTGTTCAAGTCTGTTAAGATCCTTCTAGATCTGGAGCCTATCTTCTGAAATGTTCGCTATTCTCTTCAGCTTGATGTTGCCTGCAAATTTGATGTGTTCCTCTTCTATCCCTTTATCTAAATCAGGGATGTCAAACTACCAGCCCGCGGGCCAGACGCATCATCCAGAAGCCGCGCCCACCCCATTGCCAACAATGGCAAAACTGGCCCGATACGTTGCATGATGTCACATGACGTCGTGAGTTTGACATGTCTGATCTAAATCATTTATGAAGACGTTGAAGAGTACTGGACCTAAAACAGAAACTGAAGATACATCACTGCATGTTTCCCTCCATGTAGATGTAATTCCATCGAGGACTACATGTTGAGTGCGCTTGAATAGCCAGTTATGAATCCATCTGGTGTCAGTACTGCCTATCCCACATTTTTCTCTTACTAAGAAGTGGATTATGGTCTACTCTAATGGTGTTCCCTTCTCTTTAAGGCTCTGGATTCAAGATGAGCATAAGCACTTTTGCCCCAGAAACTTTATGAGGGCAGCCCTTGCTGGGAAATTCCAAAGAGATTGGACAAGATGGCATTTTCCTCAAATGTTTATCTTCAAGTCAATTCTAGGGCTTGAGGGAGGAAGCAAAGAAGCACTGGAATTGAAGGGAGGAAGCTTGATAAAAACAACCTGTTTTAGCCATCAATAAAAATCCCCTACTGAGGCTCAGAAGAAAGAAAAATGCTGCCTTGGATCTATTCTTCCAAACAATACAACCCACATGTCCCTTAGTTCCCTTCCAAGATGTGCAACAATTCCATTACCCAACAGAAGAGGATGAGGAGTGCCTGTTACCTCCAGAACAACCCACTAAAGATGGTTCCTTGAGATGAACAAGAAGAACTGCTGAGAATGGTACAATTAAAAATTGTTCCAATGACATCCCGGGAGAGGGAGAGATGTCTTGGTCTCCAGAGATCATGGAAAACCACAACAACAAGAAAGGAAAATCAAATATATAGTGAAGAGAAGAATACAAAAAAGATAATAATAATAATAAAAAAGAAGTAAAAGAAGAATAGCTGAGAGCTCCAGAAGCAAAGAGTTTTCCAGGAGTTGACTAAATCTGTCTCAGATATTTTTTGTTAGTGCCCCTAAACATATGTTCAACTCAAACACTTACATAAAACCTTGATGGGAAACAAACCCATAATTCAGATGTAGCAATAATGTTTATTCCCCAACTGGCCCGAAGTCATATACAAATGACTTCCATGCCTAAGAGAGAACTAAAAGGTTTTGAAGTTTTTCCCTGTCCATTTGTAACCCACTCAAGGGGGCAGTGCTTATCTTTGATTCTCAGCCAAGGGAGCCTGAGTTGTCTCAAAGATTATTCTGTCATGTGACCAACATGAAAATACAGAACACAGTTATCTTCCCATCAAAGTGGTACCTATTTATCTACTAGCATTTGCATGCTTTCAAACTCCTAAGTTGGCAGGAGTCGGGCCGAATAACAGGAGCTCACCCCGTAGCGCAGCACTTGGTTGTCAAACCCGACTTAACCTTTCAGTCATCACGTCCCCCAAGTCAGAACTAACATACCCACCCATACTTTAGCATGCTAACCACAAGGCCAAACTAAGTTGCCACTAGTTCAACAGACTTATCAAAGCCAAGATCAGAAAGCTTAAACTTCATTGTCCATATATCTATCCATGGTGATAGATTAATATACTTAAATTACTGAGTCTAAACCTACTTTTTTACAAAGTGCAACATAATTGTATAATTAAGTACCCCCTACATTATTAGTATTTTGTTTTCTAAAAGTATAGCTGAACTTTCTGTGAAAGGGATGTCTAAATTTGTTCAGGTTTCTGTAAAAAAGCCGATTTAAATCTTACCCAATGTCCTTGACATAACTGGCAACGCTGAACTGAGGACTAAGATAGAAACACAGTTCCCAATTATCTGTTGAGACAACGAAGATATTATTTTAGTTAAAATGAAGTTTCTAATTGGCAAATAAAAAATGCAATGTTTTTAAGTGGAGCATACAAAGCAATACTTTATCTCATTCTGCCCACCATCAAATTGTCCGGCCCCCTGGCTTATGCAGCACTCTGCTAATAATATTGTAAAACTAAGTTTTTCTAAAAATTCACAACAGCATAAAAACTTTTGATCTTAATTTATCTATCAAATTTATTGGCTGCCCAACCTACTAGAAGATAACTCTGGGCTGAGCTTACGATATTAAAAGATAAAACTATATAAATAAAATATTAGAAAAATATAAAAATATAAAAAAACAATAGCTAACAGATGGGTATTTAGTCTCTCAGGGGAAGTCAGGAGGGTTAGAGTAGGCCGCACTCTGGGGGAGGGGAGGCAAGATGTTCCAGAGGGCGGTCGCAACAGCAGAGAAGGCCTCTCATGTGGCCCCGGCCAGCCATATTTCCCTGGCCGATGGGGTCCACAATATGCCTCCTCTGCCATCATTGGTAGGGTGGACTAGTCCTAGTGGGATGAACAGATGACACAGCTTTAGACTTACAGTGAAAGAGTCAGTAGAAGCTGTGACCAGGAGGGCATTTGCACACTTTCATACGGGGCACCAGTTGCATCTACAGTGGTACCTTGGTACTCGGTGTTAATTCATTCTGGGAGGTGTGATGGGTACTAAAAAGGACCAATCCTAAACAAACCACATGGCTTACCATAAAACCCTTTGCTTCAGCCAGGAAGAACTTTCTGTCTGTCCCTTTTCCTATATCAATGACCTTTTTGTCTGTCCTCTGTGGCCATCCCCCTCCATCTGCAGCAACCTTCCCAGTATGCCTGACTTTCTGTCCATTCCCTACCCAATCCCCTCTTCCCTTAGCAACGAATCAAGCTAAACAATGCCAAGAACAGGTACAACATTTTCATGTCAAAATGCGTGGAGAAGCAAAGTTAATGAATTTTGAGGCAATCAGGTACTTAGGTACCACTGTATTCCTCAATGTATTCCGTAAGATGGCTGCTTACATCCTAGTCACCACACAACTGGACTATTACAATGTCCAATCTACATGGTGCTGCCCATAAAGACCTTGTACAGAATGAAACAGCAATAAAATGATAGGCGTGCATCGATATACCCATGCAACATCAGTTCAATTTGGCAATAAGTGTTTGGGTATTGGCTACAAAGCCCTATGTGGCATAAGGTCAAATACTTTGAGGGATCTCCTCATCTCCATGGTTACTGCCCATCAGAGAAGAGCTGGCAGAACCGGCACTCATTGGATCCACTCAATTAAACATCACCATCTGTAAAGACCCAAGAAGTTTGGCTCCTCTATCATAGCTCTTGCCCTCTGGAATTGTGTTTTTTCAGAAACCAATCCTTTAGCTCTAACCCTGATGAAGTTTCAAAGGTTTTTAAAAAGCTAGCTCTTCTCCCAGGTCTTGGGATAAGGTATTTATGGTGCCCTGGATAGGCTGGCTGCAGTGCAGAGTCAGGACACTTAAATGGGTTTTTTTAAATTGTTTTGCTATTTTAAGCATAAGGGGTCTACTTCATTCTGGAGTCAGGCAATTTCTAAATCTTTAGCCTGTATCTGAACTGAAATTTTACTTCATCTATATTCTTTAAAAATGCTTACCGTATATGCCGGCGAATAAGGCGACTTCCACAAGCTCTAAAATCGGCGCCAAAGATGGGGGTCATCTTATACGCCGTCGTCTTATACGCTGGAAATACTGGTAGTTTCCGGCGTATAAGACGACATTCTAGGAATGCGGCTCGGCGACAAAGACGGGGGTTGTCTTATACGCCGGGTCGCCTTGTACGCCGGCATATACGGTATTTGTTGTCATGCAACATCTAAGGCAGTGGTTCTCAACCTTTTTAATGCTGTGACCCCCCAACCGGTCCTAAGTCGAGGACTACTCAACCAGTCGTAAGTCGAGGACTACTCAACTGGTGCAGCACCGTTTGCAGAATGGGACTTTTGGCGGGCTCAGCAGGGCAGAGACAGCCTGGACAATTCCTATTGGCTTTTGAAAGCCAATAGAATTAGACTCTATTCAAGAGAGTCTATTCTATTGGCTTTCAAAAGCCAATAGAATAAAAGGGAGTAGCACAGCTAAGGAAAAGGGGGAAAAAATGGCGGACTGCGTTGTTTGGCGACCCCCGTGAAATGGTCGTTCGACCCCAAATGGGGTCCCGACCCACAGGTTGAGAACCACTGATCTAAGGCTTGCATTCAAAAATTTTAAGCAGATTCAAAATAAACTCTGAACAAATGAAAATCAAGAGACAGAGCAACTAAAATACACCAAGCAAGACACTGAAACTAAACTACAAGGTACTTCCTGCCTGCAGGCACAATGTCTAACAGACATAATACAAACACCATGCCTGAAACCATTTACTTGCATGTTCAAAACTAAACCAGGCTAGGCAAGTGTAAATTAATAATGTTCATAGATGCTGATTGAACCTTAGGGCTCCAGTCTTTAAAACTGAGTGTAAAGCTACCCTTACCTGGCCTCTAACTCAAATTTGCTTTTGTACACTTATTGTGCAGGTGCTTGTACAAGGAACATTGTATTAATATACTGATGGAGAATAAGTGAGGGAGGTGCCGGCTATAGCTGGGCAGTAATTTATCAACTGCCCTCATTTTCCAAAGCACAATCTTGAGTCTAGTAAAAGAACATGTTGCCTTAAAGGATATAAAGAATTACAATAAGCAAACAGGAGCTGACACAGCATTATTCTTTCGAAGAAACAGAAAATGCTGAGACCTCTTTTCAAGAGGAGTTTTAAATACAAAAAACCTGAAACATCTGAAAGATACGTGGTTTACCATTTCTTTTTCAAAATGCTGTAGTATCAAAGGGCTGAGAAAAACATAATGGCACTGCTCAACTGGTTTAATCAAGGGTCTTCTGTACGGTTGTTTACTTTTCCATTTCTGAGAATTCCTGGAAAGATTAAAGCAAATCTCACCCTCCCCCCCTACTTAGAGTGCCTTTTTAAATGAAAAAAAAAATAAGAGGAAACTCCTAAAAGAAATTGGCTCCTATTCATCTTGTTTGTAATGTTCCCCTATTTATGAAAACATATTTTTAAGATCTCTCTTAAGATGCATGCAACTGTTGGTTGCAATTGTATAAGCAGCCTCAGACTGAGAATTGCTGAACAGAATCTCTTAATTCAGATTAAAAGAATCAATTGATATTATTTGTAAGTCTAAAGAGAGCCTCCCCCCCCTCTCTCTCTCTCTCACACACACACACACACATATATCCTAGAAAAAAGGGCGTGGGAGATTGACTCATCAGATTTTCTATGGCTACCTAACTGCAATTTCAGGCCTTTTCCAGCTTATTCCAAGCTACCCCAAATAAGCAAAAAAAAAAAAAATTGTTGATGAAAGTTTAAACTACTAATCGCTGTTCAGAATGCAATTGCTGTCTGGCAGAATCAGGTTTGCTTTGGTAGAAGAAATGGGAAAACAGGGAGAAGAAAACATAATCTCAGGCTTTTTCACCCACCTTTGTCATAGTTGTGTCATCCTTCCTGGGGGTAAAATCGCCAAAAATACGTAGGCTATAAAAGCCAACAACAGAGGAAACCATAAGGTAGCTGTGAGAATTAAAGAAAAAAAAAAAGAATTCCTAAAGAATGCAAGTTTCAGAGTCCTAAAGGTCTTTTAAGCCTTGCAAAGTATGCAGCAGGAGGGGGAAGAGAGAAAGAACATGCACTTTGAGTGCCTGGGAATAGCTGGCCTATTGTCTTCTCTCTACTAAGCAGGCATCTTAGTAAATTAGCAGCCTCCCAGAAAATTAGACAGAATACTTGTTAACAGACAAGCACGCCTCATGAAAGAAAGGATACAAAATCAAAATGATCTCAAGTGCTGCTCCCACGAAACCAAACGTGGACAGAGAGGCATTTCCTATGCCAGGCCCCTGCAAGAATTAAAAAAAAAAAAAAAGGTATTAGACAGAAGATGCCATTCTTTTACTTATTTTTTTAAAGACTGAATGCCTTGGACAATTCAATTGTATATTGTTTGTATTTTGTTTATTAGCTAATATTGACGCAGTAATAATCACTGCAAGCCTCAGTATTAGAAACAGGATTTCACCTAAAGAAGCTATATCAGAATATCGTCTTTTGGGGATTCAAAACAAATACAAATATTCAAATAATTTGATGATTAAAAATGCTGCAAGGGAACTAGAGAAATTTTAAAAGGAATTCCTCTAATTAGATACCAGAATCCTGCCACAAATGCTTAAAAAAGGAAAGTATTTGTGGCAGGATTTTAGTAGCTAATCGTATTCCATTTTTGTTGTGTTTGTTCGTTTTCAACAATCCTGACTTTGGCAACTGCTTGGCAAGTCTCTGCAATTTTCTCTGCAAGATTGACAGAATGTTTGGCCATTGCCTATTTCCCAGGGCTGAGAAAGTGAATGGTTTAGAGTGGCCCAAATGGCTTCTGTCCCTAAAACTCACAGTTATCTGGTTTCTAGTCTAAGTTAGTAATAATAATAATAGTAAAAATGGAAGGGACCTTGGAGGTCATCTAGTCCAACCCCCTGCTCAGGCAGGAAACCCTACACCATTTCGGGCAAATGGTTGTCCAGTCTCTTCTTAAAAACTTCCAGTGTTGGCGCATTCACTGCTTCTGGAGGCAGACTGTTCCACTGATTAATTGTTCTCACTGTCAGGAAGTTTCTCCTTAGTTCTAGGTTGCTTCTCTCCTTGATTAGTTTCCACCCGTTGCTTCTTGTCCTGCCTTCAGGTGCTTTGGAGAATAGCTTGATTCCCTCTTCTTTATGGCAGCCCCTGAGATATTGGAATACTGCTATCATGTCCCCCCTTGTCCTTCTCTTCATTAAACTAGACATACCCAATTCCAGCAATCTAGCAGTTTAACCACAACAGTAAAATAATGTTTGCATGTGCAGGTTTAATTCTTTTAAAGACTGTTTTTAGAGCACAAATCTGTATCAGCTCGCTTAGAAGTAAATTTCTTTGGGGAAATATGTGGTAAAATTAGATTGTGTGATCAAATTTGCCATTATTGATATTGCAAAAGGAAAATACTTTACCCTTGATCCCTTTGGCATTGCAGTTTCATCAATCAACAGACGCAGAATATTGCAAGCAACTAAGAGCACTGACAATGCCTGAAAAAGAAGCAGAAAATCCAAGTGTGGGTGCAGATTTGTGCAAAAACTGTTTGCTCCATTTTGCAGCAATGGCTTGAACACTTCTGAGATTTAACAAAAAACCTAAAGGAGACAATTCCTGCAATTCCTTTTTTTTTTTTTTTATGATCCTCAGTTCAGACACGTGTGTGGAATAAATTACTATCTTCAAGAGGCCAAGTGGGTCTTAAGCAATGTAAAGAAATTAGAGCTTACCGTTGCAATTAGCAGTAGTATCATTACAGCTGGATACACAAGGTTCCTTTCCCAGGCAGAAGCCTTTTTCCGTCGCTCTTTAAACAGAAGAAAATGTCACGGTGGCTTGAGACAAATATATACAATCCTTTTAAAATTAGAAGCTCTGTAGCCATAATCTTAGCCAAACAACAAAAGCAGTCCAAGCATTTTGTGAGATGGACCACTAAAACTTCAAGAGCAAATTGGCCTACTTATGTACTTTCAGCTCAAACATCCTATCCTGCCAGCACCAGTCTTCCCACTCCCCAGCGTAAGTAGTAAAGACATGTTTCTCAACCTTGGCAACTTTTAAGATGTGTGGATTTCAACTCCTAAAATTCCCAAGGCAATCATGCTGGCTGGGGAATTCTGGGAGTTGAAAGCCACATGTTTTAAAGTTGCCAAGGTTAAAAAGCACTGTAATGAAGGCTTAAATAAATCATTCTAAACGAATCTGCTTCCCAAAGTGGAGTAAGGTTCTTTTTTAAAATAAAGTTCTTATTAGTGGAATAAAGTTCCACTAATTAAAAAAAAAAAGCGTGAGCACTTTAAATGGAACAGCTTTCAAAGATCTGACCCCCTGGACTGGAATCAGAAATGGAATATTTCAGCAACAGATAAGACACCTTGAATTTCTTCCAATCTGACTTAAATTATTTTATTTACAAATGGAGATAAGCAATAGCAGAAGGACAGTATGAAGGAAGCTAACATGCCAACAGTATTTATTTTTAATGTATTTTTTCATAAGAATTCTTCCTTGCAAAATCAGCTAAAAACTGAGTTACCTCGAACTGTGAGATTGGTACCAAATGAATTTAATAATATTTCTTTTAAAAAAATAATAAACATTAACAACACTTTAATACAAATATGAATAGAATACAAAGTTGATTAAGAACATCTTTTGGTAGGGGCCAATTATAATATGAGGTGGCTGGTGTCTTAAAGGGGGGAATACATTAATGTGTGAAAGATAAGTTTTTAAGAAACGACTACCATCAGAAGCATTGTGTCTCTAAATTCCAGGCTGTAGGAGAAAATCTGGAATTTAGAGATATGCTGTTTCTGATGCCAGCCTTGCCCTGATTGTGAATGGCATTCTCAATGTCTTCTACAGCCTAATATGAGACACAGGATGCCAGCTTACAAAGCTCTTTGATGTGCCATGACAGGATTCTTCCTATAGTTTTAATCTGATGTTACACAGGCTCTATTATTATGGACAGCATGGAGGCTCAGGTTAAGACCCTGGACTTGTCAGCTGGGAGGTCAGCAGCCCAAGTTTGAGACCCCATGTCCTTGCCCCAGCTACTTCCAACCTAGCAGTTCCAAAGCATGCAAATGCAAATAGATAAATGGGTACTACCTTGGTGGGAAGGTAACAGCACTCTATGACATCATATTGGCCACATGAGCGCAAAATGTCTTCAGACAGTACTGGCTGAATGGCCTTGAAATGGAAATGAGCAATGCCTCCTACAGTTGGCAATGACTAGTGCAGGAAAATCTGCAGGGACTTCTTTACCTTTCCCCATTTCTATTAGAAACGATTCTGATTTAAAAATAATAATAATAAGGAAACAGAAGTCAAAATAAGATCATTATACTAGTGCAGGGATAGGCAACCTTGGCTCTTTTATGACCCGGGGACTTCAACTCCCAGAATTCCTGAGCCAGCCATGCTGAGGGGAAAGTGAGAGGTTTCCAAGCTGAGCTATGGTGGCTCAGGAATTCTGGGAGTTGAAGTCCACGGGTCATAAAAGAGCCAAGGTTGCCTATCCCTGCACTAGTATAATGATCTTATTTTGACTTCTGTTTCCTTATTATTATGATGAACTTTTATGAAGTCCACGAGTCATAAAAGAGCCAAAGTTGGCTACCCCTATACCATTGTAAAGAGCCATGGAAATATCTTTGGAGAAGGAATCCAGAGGCCATTAGAGGAAAAAAGTTTCTGATTCCCTCAGTCTAAGAAGAGGAGACACAGACAGATTTGTGAGACTTTGTTAATAGCAAAGTCTTCTTGTGAAATCTGTTTCCAGATCTGGTCAACCTTGAAGGGCTGACATTCTGGAAATGTCTAAATATTACACTAAAAGGATATTTATCCAATATATGCCTAAAGTATTTTTTATAAGAACAGTAGATAATATTTCTTCTCATACTTCTAAAAGTAAAAGAGGTTTTACTCCAAGACAAAGCACAGTAGATACCAAACCCCCCAAAAATGAGGCAATTACCCAATTTTGTTTTCATGCTCTTCATATTATTCAACTCCTGCTCAAGTTGTTTTGTATTGTACTCCACGGCGGAAAATCCTCCTGTGCCAAAACAAAAATACCATCACCTCTATTAAAATATTCCATCAGTAGTACCCAACCATTTTCCTAACTACAAGAGGAAAAATAGATTACAGTAAGGAAAATGTCTTTGTAAAGTATAAATCTTGTGCTCTAATGGCAGTTTTTACTCCCATTACAATACAGTTTCTTAGATGAAACAAAGGGGTGGGCTAAAGAAAATGGTTTTAATATGTGGTGACAAATAGTCAGGATTTTTTAAACAAAATTTATTTAATTTTAAAAAAAGAAATGGGCCACACCCTCAGATAGCCATTTAGCCATTTCTAAACAACCAGAGGCTGTGGTTCATGTTTTTTTTTTTTAATTAAATGAATTTTGCTTAAAAAATGCTGACTATTTAAGTTTGAGACTTTCTTGAAATCTCAAACGAACTTAAACAAAATTCACTTTTCACTATGGTAACTAAACTAATTATTTTATATATCCAAATATTTGGATGCTCAATTGTGAGCCTCTGCCTTAAATTTACATATTCACCACTTATATGGGAAATGCATCAGATCCTTAATATTCATCTTAATTTTTAAAAAAATAACCCTTACAACAACAACAACAACACACCCCAAAATGATAGCAGCATAGAACTAATAGAACTAATCCTGGTAAATTTCCAAGGGAGGAAGCAATATTTTAGAGCAATCAAATCACATCTCTGGAAGAGGGAGCAAAGTATTGAATGCAAGCTATTCAAAGCACCATGGGCTCTCAACTTTATTTCAAACAAGCACAAAAGTTTAATGATTGCATTGTCTGGCCAATAAATCAAATTGGTAGACAGAACTTGTTCAGACTAGTCATGAAAAATTAGAAGGGATTCTCCAAGAAAACCACAAAGCAGCTCATTTAAGGTCAATTTAACAGTATTATTTTGTTTTTTTTTTTCGGTCCCAACATAATATTTCAGTACCTCAAAGGAAATTCTAGGAGTATCTATTTGCATTCCCTGTAGGTGATTGGCAGTTCAACTCCAATTAGTTCAAAATTACACTGTTACTAGTGTGCAATAAAAACAACACCTTTCATCTTTCTTACATAGGTTAGAATACCTTCAGAGCTAATAACTTTGATCAAATAAGTATTTTTGATCCTGCTCCACCCGTCTCCTGGGATTCAGGAAAACTAATAGCTAACAGCAACTTTTCCTTTTTAATATAAAGAAAGCTTGAGCTTTATTCTTTTCGTGCACAAATAATGTGGGTATTAAAATACAATACATTTTCTCTCCTATTTCTTTAATAACAAAACAATTTATGCAGACTAACCATTGCAGAGATAATTTTTCTTCTCAAAACTTCCTGTGTCAATAAAATTATATGAAATTTGAAGTTCAAAAGTACACACTTTCCTAATTCTTTATACTATGTTTAAAAGTGAGAATTTTAAAACACACAATTAATTGTAATTCAGGATTCTGCAATTTGATTCCTATTAATGTAATACTGGATTACACTGGATTCTAATTTACCTACTAGAAAACTATTAAAATTACTTCCAACATTCCTTCTACTTCTCAAGGGGTACTGCAATCCTTTATTTATAATAAAATCAGAGTATCTGCTAAAGTATGATTTAACATCTATGATATGCTTACAGTTTGATCATATATATATATATAATATAATCATATATATATATAATTCTCAGAACATATAAAGAATAGATATTATATAATATATAATATATATAATAATTATATATTATAATATATAGATATTATATTATATTATGGCATCAGGTTGCAGAGTATGGTTTCGAGAGCACTCCAAAAGTTGCCACAGAATAATTTTAAATTTTACCAAAGGATCAAATGTTAAAATCCATGAAAAATGAATCAATTTTTTCTACCATTTGTAGAATTCTGCTTTTAGCTTAGTCAAATTGCATGATTTGACTACATATAAGCAAGCTATAGAACAAACCCTTTCACAATTTGTTATGATTCAATATTGCATTTATTTTCCATTAAGACCTGCAAAAGCCCTAGTCAAAAATAACATATGACCAGTGTTACCTATAATTTCTGTACAACCAGTTTTGTTTCTCTGTTATGCTAACTTGCTATTTAATTCGTATTAGTTTATGATTTTTTGGGGAATATTTAATTATAAAAGAACTGAGATAGTACAATGTTTCTGGGTCACAATCAGTCATTACACGCATGCTGAAAAGAAGAATATTCTTTCTTGTTTATTTATTTACCTGGGGTATTTTTATCCCATATTTATTACTTTATAAGTAACTCAAGATGTCCAGCATAATCCAAGACACCTTCCTCCTTCTATTTTCCTCACAAGAACAAACCTGTGAGGTGAGTTGTGCTGATTCAGAGACTGGCCCAAGATCACCTAACAGGCTTTCATGGCTAAGGTGGGACTAGAATTCATATTGCCCTAATTTTTAGGCCAGCACCTTCCCCACTAGGCCAAACTGGCTCCAAACTTACACCAAGTATATGGTGTTCAGGATTTCTGAAACTAGCATCCTCTGTAAATACTGGAATACAACTTCCATAATACCTAAATGCAATACTAAAAATGCCAGGCTGTAGTAAACATACTTACCATTTAACTTTCTCATTATAGCTTCTTCTTCTAGACTAATAATATATATCTGCTCATCCAAGTCTTCAAGAATCTATGTTCAGATATACAGATACCATATCAGATAAAATATTTGAAGATTGCATACAATTTATTATAAGAGAAAAAGAGAACTAGAGTCCTTACCGAAAAAAACTGGATATATGCAAGATCAATGTGAATTGATGTTCATTTGCCTAAAGCTGCAAGCTTCCCTGATTAAACAATACTCAAAGTTGAAATAATCCAACAAAACAAATGAAGAAAAAAAAACCTTTGCTATAATATCTGCAATTTCACTTTGTATGTTGCCCAAACTGGGCGAGCATGTGAAGCTTCATTTGTGCATACGCGGGAGCTAGGTTGCATGTGCAAAACCATCCCCTCCACCACTGCTGCCGTCACTGCTCCAGGTCCATGGACCCAGAAAGGTTGGAGACTACTGCCCAAACAACCTATGTCAGGGTAGGCAACCTTTATGACTCATGGACTTCAGCTCCCAGAATTCCTGAGCCAGCCAGGAATTCTGGGAGTTGAAGTCCACGAGTCATAAAAGAGCCAAGGTTGCCTACCCCTGACCTATGTCCATATGTTAGTTAATAATTTAACATTAACAATACTTACCGTTGGCTTTACAAGCAATTGTCCCATCACTGTAAACATACGGGAAAGTCCTACTGGTGTACAAACTGTAGAGGAACACACATATTACCTATCATCTTTGATTCATTATTCAAAATTACAATATCCTTATCGAGAAGTTTTCATTTTAAAAAAGCCAAATACCTCAGATCTTCTTGAAGAAGTTAAGTTAGCATCTTAAATACATAGCTATAATCAGGGCTTTTTTTCTCATAGAATGCCCAGAACGGAATTCCGGCACCTTGTTTGGATGGAACCTTGTAGGGTAGGCAAGGCGGGTTGTATGACATGTGTGAGTTCCGGCACTTTTTTTTTTTTTTTTTTACAAAACAAGCACTGGCTAAAATTAGGATTAAACCTTATACTTTACTTTATCTAATTTACATTTTTACCAAACAATAAACAGTCTAACAGCATATTCTATAAAATAGTTCCAGAAAAAAGATAAGAATTGAAAGAAAAAAATTAAAGTTTTGTATTTGCATTTGAAGTTTTATTTTATCTGAATAAAATAAAAAGAAAAAAGTACCCTACAAAAATGTAATGTAAAAAAAACTTGGAGATTTTAAACAATTCATATCTGAAAACCGGAAATATATGGAAACATAGAAAACTGACAACCGAAAAAGATCAAGCTGTCCATGAAGTCTGCCCTTTGAGGGCTTTTTAATTTTATTTTATTCATTTATTTTAATTTTATTTTATTCACTTTACCAGATGATGGACCTGGGCAAGTTTAATCTATCAAGCATATTATTCTTCAGTGTTCATTTTGCAGAAATATCTAAAGCGCTCTTCTTTTCCTTGTACTGAAAATATTGTCACTTTGCATAGATCAAGCTTACGTCCATTTATTAATCCCATCATATTATAAGAAGTTATCGTATATTCCGGCGTATAAGGCGACCCGGCGTATAAGACGACCCCCGACTTCGGCGGCGACTTGCATGCCTAGAAAGTCGTCTTATACGCCGGAAACTACCGTTATTTCTGGCGTATAAGACGGCGTATAAGACGACCCCCGACTTCGGCGCCGATTTCAACGCTTTTGAAAGTCTTATACGCTGGAAAATACAGTACTATTATTGTGATGTAGTGTGTAAAATCCATGTGGAGTTGATAACTTACAAGAGGCAATTCCCATGTTTCTTTGTATTCACTGTTCTAAACTAAAGATATTTAATGTTACTTTGTCATTATACTACAGGTAGTCCTTGACTTAAAACCACAACTGAGCCCAACATTTCTGTTGTTAAGTGAGACATTTGTTAAGTGAGTTCTGCCCCATTTTACGACCTTTCTTACCACAGTTGTTAAGTGAATCACTGCAATTGATAAGTTAGTCACCTGGTTGTTAAGTGAATCTGACTTCCCCTTTGACTTTGTTTGTCAGAAGGTTGCAAAAGGAACACAGCAACGGTCATAAGTATGAACCAGTTGCCAAGCATCTGAATTTTGATCACATAATCATGAGGATGCTGCAAAGTTTTAACAGTGAAAAAAGTCATTTTTTTCAGTACCGTTGTAACTTTGAATGGTCACTAAATGAACTGTTATAAGTCGAAGATTACATGTATCTTACATTCTATATTTCTTATTTCATGCTTTTGGTAGTTTTGGTGTTAAGTATAAGTCAGAATTTCTCTATTTATATATACTGACCTAAGTATTATAATAGTACATTTTGGTGTCTAATGCTTAGTATACAAGACTAAAAAGACATGGAGAGACGAGGATGGTTAGGCTTGAGAAGAGGTGATTGAGAGAGGAGACAAACTGTTTTCAAAATCCTGAAATTATGCTAGCGTTTCTTAAATCTTTTATCTTCATGACTCTTTCCTACTTTTAAAACTTGTTAAGAAACCCCAAAGAGCTTTTGTTTATATGTATTATATTTATTGAGATTTGCCATTTTAAATTTTAAAATTGATTCATTCACAGAAATGAATCATTGTTGAATAATGTAAAAAATAACAAGGTTAGATATTAAGATATTTTTCATGAAAGAATCCTATATGATTTTCCAACAAATATAGTAATGAGAAGAGACACTGTTTTCTATCTTTGCAAATATATTCAATATATGGCAAGTAATTTTGATATTGCAGACCTTTGAGAGGATCTTGAAGGAGCCCTCAGGCTATATTTTAAGAAACACGGCTACAGAGGTTTAAAATCTGTTCTTTCTTGTTCCAGAGGACAGAATAATGGATTTAACCTACACAAAGAGACATTCCAAATAATTTCTATAAGTAAGAATAGTTAACAGTGGTTCAAAACTGAAACCAACGGACCCAGTGAAATTTTAGGCTCCACTTTGCTGGAGCTCCAGCTGGAGGCTACATAGGCATTTGTCTGAGATGATTTATATTGTTCTCTTTCTTTTCAGGATTTCATTATTACTAGTCCAGCATACATGTGGGCTGAACAGCAGTGTTAAACATTACTCCTACTTCTTACTTTATTTATTTATGAGACTTATATACCACTTTAAGCGCAAGCACTCTGTAAGCGGTGTACACCAGTAAGCAATGTATATATATATTTACATTGCCCCCAACAGTCTGGGTCCTCATTTTACCTACCTCGGAAGGATGGAAGGCTGAGTCAACCTTGAGCCGGTGAGATTTGAACCGCTGACCTGCTGAACACAGTCAGCTAAAGTGGCCTGCAGTACTGCACTCTAACTACTGCGCCACCTCGGCTCATTTATTTATTACTTATTTATTTATTGCTTCATTAGAGTTTTTTAAGCAACTTTACTAGGTGTGTGTGTGTGTGTGTGTGTGTGTGTGTGTGTAATTTATTTTATGATTGATTGTTAGGTACCAGGTTTACCATCATGGCCTGAAGGAAGGGATGAGTGTTTAAACGCGCCATGAATCATATGAAGCTAGGTCAGTGATGGCAAACCTTTTAGAGACCGAGTGCCCAAACTGCAACCCAAAACACACTTATGCATCATTGGGTGCCGGGTGGGTGTGGCCCATTGGCTGGGTATGGCCCATTGGCTGGATGTGGCCAATTGGGGGGTGTGGCCCATTGGGCGGGCGTAACTGAGGTGGTAACGGCAGACTGGGTGGGACTAAAGAGTTCAATCAATCAATTCCAACTTTGCAAGCTATATTTTTTCCGCGAGAAGTTGAAATTGATTGATTGATTGAACCTTTTTTTTTTTGCACATGGCAGCAGAGGCCTAAAGCGAAAAAGTTTTATAAAACCCAGCTGAAGGCCTAGGACTGGGGCGATGGCGCGCGTGCCCACAGAGAAGAGTCTGTGTGCCGCCTCTGGCACCCGTGCCGTAGGTTCGCCACCACTGAACTAGGTGAATTATTAGCTGCTTCACACCATTATGTTCCAAGGAATTTTTGAAACCCTGGAAGTAATGAATTAAGTATTTTAAAAGAACATAAGTATTTTTTTTATCAGTGACAGCTAAAGCAATACATTTTAGAAAGCCCAAGTTCTATAGGACTGTGCCAAATGCTTAGAAGTATGGCAGTTAGTGGAAAAGAATCTCTCTTTGAAATCTTAAAACAGCCTCATCCTTAAAAGACCTTTTCAACTGCCTCAAAAGCTTCCCCTGGCAATTTGTATCTATGTGCACCTTGACCAACTTGTGTGCACACCACCAACAAAATGGCTGTGCAAGCAAACAGACATGCAAATAACTAGGAGATGTCTTCAAGCCAGCTAATTCTACCAAAGAACAGGGTTTTTCAGCAAGTTGTAGAGATATGTTTCTGTCATGTTAATATTTTAAAAGCGCCTCTTTCAAATGCTTGCACAGGGCTAAGGCCAAATATAGGATACTCACACAGAAAATAGCAAGTGTCTGATACCTGCATTGAAAGGCCAAAAAGTCTTACTAAATATTATTTCTAATATATGTATGGAAAACTTACGTAGAAGTAATAAACACCCCATCAAAGATATACAGGAATATAAATAAGGGAGGTAGAATTCCCAAAGATCTGAAATTAAAGCATATATAATTTAGTATATTATTTCATCTAATATACAAGAAAGTATGAAAAAGAATGTTTTTGTGTATTCTATTACTGGCCTCAAATATGCAACAACATTCTTGCTAATAAAAATATAATTGATTAAAGGCAATCACTATCTCTTCAAATGATTTTTTTTAAAAAAAAATCAGAAAACAAATCTCTCGGGGAAAGGCAGATCATCCAGAAGATCCAATCTCAACTTCTGCAAAATCAAAACACTTTCTCTTGCTCTCAACTGGATTACAACTTTTCAATTAGCATTTTATACATTTTTTTATTTATGACATTTTTGGTCCTGAAATGAAGAAACAAATTGTCACCGTTATCCCACGCAGCAGTTATCTCAAACCCAATCCCAAGTGAAACATAAGATGGGAAGAAATAAAATATTTAAAAAGCTTAGAATCTAAGTTAGCCTATAAAAATGTAGATTTGTTTTGTGTAATGGCTACTCAGTTACCTTTCTTTAGAAAAGCAGAACAGAGAAAAGATTTTCTTACCATACAAGGACTCCATACTTGCAACATCATTGTCTATGAGAGCTGAAGCTACCCACACAATTCCAAGGATAAGCAACGCAAGAAGAATCAGCATAACAAGGGTTTCCAAAATACGTGCTTTGATTCCCTATTAAAAAATAATAATGCACAAAATAAAGAAGAAATGGATGCAAACATAGATATATTGATACTTTCTTAAAATTGGCTTTTTTTGAGAAGCTAAACCAAAATTGAAACAGCTTGGAGATTTTTTTTTATAATCCTTAATAAGTATCGTCTGTTCTATTTTTATTTATTTTCATTAAAGTTACTCATGTTAGATTCACAAAGGCTTTTTTTCATTAAGACATTTAATTTGGTAGCTATATCAGCAAACAATACTTTGAATTTCAAACAAAATAATAATAAAAATTTGTTTCCTATCAAAGCAAATTAGTCTGAGAATTAATAGGTCCGCTATAACTTCAGTTACAAATTTTCTTACAACGTTTGGAAAAAACTTTATCTGCTCCATGTAATAGCATCAAGCATAAAACCGTTATAAAATCTAGAAAACAAGTTTAAAAAAAAAACCACCCAAATAATTTCAACTTCTATTCCCACTACACATCAGCCCAGGTGGAAGAGATGCAAATGCAACATGGCTTTTCTCTTAGATCTCTCCTAGTTGAAGAGATGTACTGCTGTGGAGAAAAAGGCAGCCAACTCTCATTAGAATTCCCAGTCCAAAGTTTATGGTGCCAAGAGGCTAAGCAGTAGGGCTCCAAATGTTAAATACAGGCAATCCTCAACTTACGACCATAATTGAGCCCAAAATTTATGTTGTTAAATGAAACATTTGTTAAATGAGTTTTGCCCCATTTTACGATTTTTCTTGCCACAATTGTTAAGTGAATCATTGCATTTGTTAATAACATGGTTGTTAAGGGAATCTGAATTCCTCGAGGTATTGCTTGTCAGAAAGTCGCAAAAGCTGATCACGTGATTCCAGGACACTGCAACCGTCATAAATATGAACTATCTGAATTTTGACCATGTGACCCTGGGGATGCTACAATGGTCGTAAGTGTGAAAAACAATGTCACTTTTTTCAGTACTGTGATAACTTTGAACGGTCACTAAATGAATTGTGGTAAGTTGAGGACTACCGGTACCATAATTTAAAATCAAGCACAGTACCGAAGAGAAAACTAACAGTAAGAGCAAACATTATCTATTTGTTGTCCGTGGCTCAAATAATACAAACGTTTTTGGAGATCATTTACACTCCAGGACAATGTTTTTAGACTTAGCAACTTTAAGATGACTATCCCAAAGATGCTTTTTTCACAAGACTGGACTTTCTTGGTTTTGGGTTTTTTTTTTTTTCCTTTGAAGACATTTCACAAATGCAAATGACCAGCTGTCTGCAAGGAGTATAAATCTTTCTATTCCCCCACTATCCAAACAGAGCTGAAGAAGCTTCTTGGATGAGAAGCGAAATGTCTATAAAGAAAAACAAGTAAGTCCAGGAGCCTTGTGAAAAAAAAAGCATCTTTGGATAATTATGGTCTTGGAGGTCTGAGAATCCCCAGAGACATTTAAGATGACTGGACTTCCACTCCCAGCCAGCAATGGAAATTAGCCAAAATTGTCACTATTATGAAGCAGGCAATTTACAGTGCTAATAGCAGCTTTTAAAATGTATTTTGGCATATTATGAAGTAGCCTTGCCACCAGTTTTGTTAAACTTTAGCAATGCTAACTTAATTTTATGCATTGTGCTTTCATAAAATTTATCTGTTGATCAACAGTCTGTCACTTGCATATTAAAACATGAAGCCAACCAGTTTCATTTTTAAACAAAATATATATATTGATTATTCAATGTAGAAAAGACAGCAGTGATGGGGTTAGTTGACATACAGAATCTGATAAAATACTGCTGTATGTTTTTTGTAACAAACATTAAGATCAAAACATTATGTAGGCTAAATTTCCTTGAAAAGCTCCCAGCACGATTCTTCCTTCTTCCAATATCTGTTTTCCTTTCATTCACAAAAAAAGGCTGCACTAAGAAACATCTATGTGCCACTAACACTAAACCAGTGTTTCTCAACCTTGACAATTTTAAGGCATGTGGACTTCAACTCCCAGAATTCCACAGCCAGCATGGCTGGCTGTGGAATTCCGGGAGTTGAAGTCCACATGCCTTAAAATTGTCAAGGTTGAGAAACACTGCACTAAACAACACGCTTCCTTAATCACTTATTTCCAGCAATTTATAAATTGTCAGTGGCCAAAAAATAAGCAAGCCCTAATAAAGGAATGCAATGAAGTGTCCTTGAGACCTATTGCTTTTGCTTCCTACTTCTTTTTCTGTCTCTTTACTAATGAAGGCCTGATATAAATTAGCTAGAAAAGGGGACAAAGTCATCTGATCACAAAATACAATGCAGTCGCTTTTATTAAGTTTGCCAAAAGGAACATAAATTAGGACAATTTGAAATTGTAAAACAGGATAGAAGTATATTAAAACAATGTGTGCTCCTCTTCCATTGTGCTGTCATGTTGTTCAGCTTCACAGCTGAACATCTGGCCTAATTAATTAAAGAAATTGCTACCATTTGCTTTTATTAGCTAATGGTTTATAGCCACAGCAATAGCACTTAGACTTATATACTGCTTCACAGTGCTTTACAACCCTCTCTAAGCAGTTTACAGAGTCAGCCTATTGCCCCCAACAATCTGGGTCCTCACTTTACTGACCTTGGAAAGATGGAAGGCTGAGTCAACCTTGAGCCGGTCAGAATCGAACTGCTGGCAATATCCTGCAATATTGCATTCTAACCACTGCACCACCATGCAATAGTTAGAATTTATGTCCTTTATTAAGCATCCTCTTTTGATGTTCTTGGTTAAGCTCTGAATCCACAGATTTTCTCCACTGAGTACCAAATACTGAAATATCTGGATGCATGGCACAACTCAGTTCTACAATTACTTCCATAAAAAGTTATTCAAACCTTCCCATCACACAACAGTTAGATTTATTCCAAATACTTATGCTTCCATTTGTGTAGGCAGAAGAAATCTGCTTCAGCTTCATTTTGGGGAAGTGGGGTAAATGACCTAGTACAAGATATAACATAGTCCTTCCATCAGTAGAAGATGCTTTCTTCTTAGGAAAGTACTTCTTGCTTCCAAGCCCCACACCACCAACTGCCTTTTTACATGATAGACACAACTAGTCAAACAGAACCATCTGAGGTATCTTTTTCCTCAATACTCTAAGGTGAAAAAAAATCTCTTTTTTCAAAAGTGCAAGCTAACCCCTCTAGGCAGACAATAATCTGTCTGAATTAACAAAATAGTTTAACTAAAATCCTAGAGAGAGTCATGCTCAGTTTCGTTTTTCAAGCAAACACTATACCTATCCATGATGAGTGACCAATTTCTATATATGAATCTTGATGTTACATTCAAAAAAATTATTTAAAAATGGTTGCCAAAAGGGATTGATATGAGACAATAGTTGAATCCTAGGTTATCATGAATGAACACCATTAATTGGCATTTAAATTTGCTGGTGACAAAGGCAAAATAATCATTTTTAAAGGAACCAACAATATTAAAACAGGCATAACCATGATCATGGCCATTATTACAGAAACAAATTAGTACAAATAGTACTATTTCCTGTACTGTAATAGTACAGTAACAAATAGTACATTTGCCATACTACACATAACACTTGCCTATGGAAAAATAATGTCAGTGATGGGACTTCCTTAGGAACATGGCACACTAAACTCCCTTTTTACGAACAAAACAAAAAAATGCAGAAAACAGAGCCAACAACTTCAACTAAGAACAAGAGGCTGAAGAGCAGATCAGGTTTTGTTTTATAACAAATTTTATTGGTTTTTTAACTTTTACAACAGAATGCTCAAGATACGCCATGGTCTTATTACTTCAAATAGCATTTAAATCTCATTCAAAAAATTATCATATCTAAAAAAAAAGAACACACCTATTATTACACAAAACATCGTCTTACTAACTTAACACACTCAATTAGTTGTTAAAGCTATCTGAATTTCTAAAAGCGTCTTTCATATTCTTATTTTCATTCCATTACGAAATAATTTTCATACAAATAAACATATTGTTCAAGAAAATATATTCTTACTCTGTTTAACATATATATTCTAATAATCACAAATTTTCAACTCTAAATCTTAATCCTTAAATCAGTCCATATTTCTCAAAACCTTTCTAATCCATTACATATAATTTTAAATTTCTCTTTTTAATCTTATTCTGGCTTTCTTCCTACGCCAAAAAGGCTTCCATAACAAAGCCTATATTTCAGCAAATAGATCTCCTAGTATTGCTTGTAATATCATTTGGGTTAGTAAAAGACCTCCCATCCTGTTTTTGATGCCTGGTTCCTGAGCAGATCAGGTTTTTTTGACCCTGCCTGGAAAAAGAGACGACGAGAGATTGCCCACATTCTGCTCCATACAATTATTCCTCAACAATGACAAGGCTGCAAGGCAACTGCAAGGGAATCTGCCATTCTTGCCTCAGCTAAGAATTGGGGGGGGGGGCGTCTAGGACAACTTACTGTGGCCAATTCACTGTGGGACAAGAGTTACAATAACATCGAAGAAATGTTGGAACAGAATAATTAAAGAAAGGATGCAAAAGGAGGGACAAAATGAAATGTGAATGACAAAAATTAACATCGTTTTTAAATTATTTTAAATAATTAAATTGAATTGTTGAACTTGCCACAGTTGACTGTGACAAGTTGGCCATGGCAAGTTGTCCCATTCTGCCACCGCTGGAGCCTTCAAAGGACAATATATTTGCACTTCTTTTGCTAACCATATTTGGAAATTGCCTATTAACTTGAAATAAGTTAAACACCTTCAAAATGACAAGGCTGAAAACACTGGGTGAATGTCCCCAACCCTTAATGTAACAAAATGAAACTTCATCTTTATAAGTTTTAAGAATTCAAAATAGCAAAAAGCTGTAGAAAGTTTTAAAAGGATTAAGGGCTCAGAAAACGTTGGAATAGTTGATTTTGAATATCAAGACTTTGAAGTTAACTTTGAAAGAATAATCACTTTCGATACT